AGCTTTATTTAAAGTTAGTTCAGCAGGATAAATCTCTCTATAGTGTACATACTAGTTCAGCAGGATAAATCTCTCTATAGTGTACATACTGAAGTCGTCATAATGGACGAGAGTAAATATATCATCCAAATATCTAAAAGTGTTATTAAATTTTTGTATAAGATGTTGTTTTGATGGATCTTTGCTGATTTTAGTCATATATTGTAACTCATAACAATACAGAAACAGGTCCGCAATAAATGGCGCACAGTAAGTCCCCATTGGAATTCCGATAACTTGACGATATACGGAATCTCCTTAGCGAACAAAAATGTTATCTAGTAAAAATTCAAGTGCAGTTATCGTATCAAAGCAGGTCCAATTGACATAGTTCTTTTGTTTGTTGTTACTAAAAAATGACTGAAAAGAGTTTGAACATATATATTCGCATTCTGACTTTTTAAATACCCATTTGATTAGGTGTGTGATTTTCTTCTTATGATATTAGGCAAAGTGGTATATAGGGTAATAAAAATCAAAACTTTGAACAGATTCGAAATCACCAATATAAGCAAGTACTTCCAACGAATTTACCTTTCTCATTAGAGAAGAAGGCTTTGAATGAGTTGCAGCTGAAGCCCGCCTCCGGGTGCGGGATTTTCTCGCTGTGTTGAAGACCCATTGGTGGCCTTCGTCTGTTTTCTGCTCTTTGGTCAGGTTGTTGTCTATTTGACACATTCCCCATTTCCATTCTCAATTTTATTGCATTCAGATTTACCAAACGACCATTTAATTAAATAGGAAAACTTTTGTTTGATAAGATTGTGTGGAAGTGTAGTGTAAAGAGTTGAAAAGTCAAAACTGTCAACAGATCTAAAACATCCAAAGAATGTTTTACACTCCAAAGGCTGTTTCCTTGGAAGAGAATTGGAACAATAGCTCCACTCTTTCAAAAAACGCTAGAATTAAATACTATGAGAAAACTAAAACACTCATTGTTCACTATAGGACGACTCATGAATGGTCAGACCTATTCCAAATGTTAATTCACTTGTTTGACATTGAGAAAAAGATTGAGTGAGCTTGTGGTGCCCATGATGTGTCTTATCTTTTTATTAGCACTGAACTTGTGTCTTATTTATGTCGACAGACTGCTTGGTGACTTGAACTGCTCCACGGTCTGTAGCAATGAATAAGAGAAAAGGCCAATTTCCCTTAATATAACATAGATAGAAAACAATGAGTCAGGGTAGGTGTATATTTTAGTTCTTGGAAAAAAGATATAAAGGAGTCCCACATGGATCCATTCTTGGACCAGTTTGTTTAGCATTTTCCTTAATGATATTTTTATCTTTTTTTTTAAAAGGAAAGTGCTCTATATAGTCATGATGATGATACTACATTGTCATACTAAGGACCAAATTTGGATATATTGTTTAAAACTCTTGAACAGGGAAGTTCAGATCTTATATAGATTGGTTTTTGGACAATCATATTAAAGCAAATCCCTACAAAAAATATTGCGGAGAAAAAAATACCATAACAAATGAAGGGGATATAGAACAACAGGTCGAACAACAAATGTTCTTAAACCCTGCTGACTGCCATTTGGCGATTGATCACCGATGTAATAAATGGATCTTAATTATAAATTAAATACTAAACAGAAAATCCCAAATTGAGGTAAATTGTATGGCTTTCCAAATACCGTTTAGATTCCTAACATCACTGAAGAGACATTAATTGTCGAAATCCGGATATGGTGTACAAAAACCTTTGCACCTTTTATTTGCAGTATACCATCTTTTCCGCAAGTTTATTTTTTTCTGTTTAGTATTTAATTTATAATTAAGATCCATTTATTACATCAGTGATCCGTTTATTTGGCAATCGCCAATGGCAGTCAGCAGGGTTTAAGAACATTTGTTGTTCGACCTGTTAGTCAAATGCGTTTTGTTAAAATATACTTTTTCACTTTTTTTGGTCTTTTGGAAAATGTTGTTTGTGCTGTATTTAGACCCCTCTAACAAGAAATTTGTTTTGCATGCACACGTATAAAAATTGCGGTTTTTATCCAACGCAATCATAGGTTTGAACGTTGTTTTCAATTTAGACTTGTTTATATTTTTTCGTTTGGGCTTGTATTATATTTGCCTTCGGGTTTATATGATCCGTTCATCCTATTTTGACTCCTCAAAATTCAAGAGTCTATCCCAAATTGAGGTAAATTGTATGGCTTTCCAAATACCGTTTCGATTCCTAACATCACTGAAGAGACATTAATTGTCGAAATCCGGTTTTTATCCAACGCAATCATAGGTTTGAACGTTGTTTTCAATTTAGACTTGTTTATATATACATATATAGACTTTTTTGAATATGAAATATATATGTGATCTTATCTTATCTTATTATCAGCTGACCCGAAGGATAGAAGTTTAGGCAAAATTAGCTAAGCTATTCGACAGATACTTCGGGTTTGGAGTGACTAATTCTTTTATATGTTGCTCCGTTTTTTCCACAAATGTTTTGTCAAGGACGTTTATAAAATATGCTATGTTAATTATACGTCCTTGGTTTTGTAAAATAACCGAGTATTATAGTAACCACGTACTTGTGTGGACTGTATTGTGCATTGCAAAGCGCCAAATATTCTGTGTCAGAAACCTATAATGTGTCAAATATTTAATTACAATCCAAATTCAGACCTGTATCTAGCTTGAATATTGTGTCCATTTTTGCCCCAAGTTTGTTCAGGGTTGGACCTCTGTGGTCGTATCCAGCTGCGCTGAGCGAAGCAGTTTATTTCCACAATTGTCTTATTATGTAAGTGATTGAGAGCACTGAAGGGTAAAGATTGCTTTCATTTTGCAATTTTGTGAATTTAAAATAAAACACTGAATTGCATTTAGCTTGGAAATTATAGATTTAAGTTGGAGTTATCTCCCTTTTTTCATGATTGTACATTTGTAGTTGAACCTATTTATAAACAGATTCATACATTATGCATTTCTAATATGATTATTAATAAAAAAAAAAGTTTTCTTGACAAGTATGGTAATTAAAGTACACCTTATATTGTATCTTGAATAACTAAGTCTAATACATCACCAATAAATTGCATGACATTGACTGGATAGGACTTATACCTAGTACAAACAAGACAAATAATGTGTGTGTACCTGTGTTGCTGCATGCAATTGAATAAGGTAACATGTATATTGAAGCATAACTGATCAAGATCATTCATTTTCATTGAAGCCAAGAAATTTTTTAAACAGAAGTGGCTGCATAGCAAATGTAAAAATAGTTTTATACATGCTACAACTCAACATTTATGTAATATCAAGCTGCAAACTAAAAATAAAATCCTTCCCTTGCAAGAAGCCAAGAAAAATATGATGAAAGTTTCTACCCAGGTTTTTCAGGACAGAATACAGAAATATGGAATAACGGATCGAGTGGAGTGGTTACTATTCTTGCTTTTGCCGTTGGCATGGCAGGTAAAAATGTACTCAAAATAATCCTTGCCTTACCTCTGTATCTTTAAACCCCTTTGTAGAGGAACCATACATTTGTATGTAGAACTTGTGATCTGCATTGTCTATGTACAGTGAACTTACACATAATCAAGAACTGACATATTACACTACCGGTATTTCAAACATTTCATGGTCATTAATAAATGATGATGACAATTGGAATTCCTTTTTACAGATGTAATCTTGATTCATGTATACAAACTATTTGTATACATGAATCAATACACCAAGGTTCCCTGTTGAAGACCGTACTCTGACCTATAATGGTTTACTTTTATAAATGTTGACTTGGATGGTGAGTTGTCTCATTGGCACTCGTACCACATCTTCTTATATCTATTTAATGTTAATTGGATGGAAATATAAAACAAGAGAGCACACGCTGAAATGTCTCGCCTGTTTTACTGACCATTGATTTTATGTTGAAAGTCTTAAAGATTAAGGTTTTACTACAAGTATCACATAAACTTAACATTTTTAAAGATCCATGACAATGAGGTCAAGGTCAGATAAAAACTGTCACAGAGCACATCTACTCCTTACAATTATTCCATACACCAAATATAGTTGACCCATTGCTTATGGTAATTGAAAATCAGACCAAAACACAAAAACTTAATGTTAATCAATGAACCATAGAAATGAGGTCAAGGTCAGATGATACTGGCTAGACAGACATGTACACCTTACAATCATTCAATACACCAATAATAGTTGACCTATTGCTATTAGTATTTGAAAAACAGACCAAAACACAAAAACTTAAAATTGACCAATGAACCATGAAAATGAGGTCAAGGTCAAATGACACTGGCTAGACAGACATGTACACCTTACAACCATTCCATACACCAAATATAGTTGACCTTTTGCTTATAGTACTTGAAAAACAGACCAAAACACAAAAAATTAACAATGACCAATGAACCATGAAAATGAGGTCAAGGTCAGATGAAACCTGCCAGTCTGACATGTACCCCTTACAATCATTCCATATCTGAGAAACGGACCTAATTACGTAACTTTAACCTTGATCACTGATCCATGAATTGAGGTCGGGGTCAGGTTAACTCTGTCTGACGGACATGTAGACGATGCAAGGAACCCATATACCAAATATAGTTATTTTATTACTCATAATAAGTGAGAAATGTCTCGCATACTTTCGTCGCAGGCGAGACAAAAATCAGATTATCAGCATGTAATGCTAGTATCAGTATAAATACCTCATAAATTGATTGACTGATTGGTGTCTATGGCCATTTTCAGTACTATTGTGATATTTTGTGAAGGTCAGTTTTTATTGGTGGAAGAAGCCAGAGTGCCCTGAGAGAATCACCAACCTTTGGTAGGCCTCATAAATTGATTTGACTAATATCTGATGCATTTTTGACTGTGGTTTTAACTGCATCAATAATAAATACTGACACCTGATTAGTTTCCTATAATTGAGATATAATCAAGCAAGTTAATAACATGAGCCTTTTCAAATAATGTTTAATAAAAAAAACAAAATAACAACTTGTAAATTACACACCTTTAATATAAAGTTTCCTATCGAAACATGCAAGTGGAAATTATATCAAGAGACGAACATTTCTCTAACCAATATCCTCATTTGATTGGCGAAGAAATGCATTATCTTTTATATTGTTATTATCCAGACATTTCAAGGTTAAGAAACAAATACATCCCATATGACTACAACCAATTACAAAAGATCCCAATTTACAGTAGTACCTGTGGCCATGTTGGTTGACAGCAAAGAACATCAAATACAAATTTTAATCTTTTCACACTACAGATGATTATTTAAACAAGTTGAGCTGTGAGCTTTTGCTCACAAATGAGACCCCTGCTTTAAGTTTTCTGTAATCCACAAGTTAGAGAGAAATAAATCTGAAAACATATAACACAGTAAAGCATGCTGACATGAAGCCATAAAACACATTTCAGGAAGCTTTTATTTGTAGGTGGCTAGAAAAATGCAGCTTAAATTTCATACATGGCCATTGTGTTTAAAATATAATATGAGACAAGTGTACCTGTGAAAGAGGACAATATCTGTTAGCTGGCCATGTAAAACTGTCTTACTTTTTTTCTTTAAATTAAATTAATAAAATACTTTTTTTTTTACTTTGTGCAATGAGCTTTCAAAAATCATATATTCTAACCATAGAATTAAAGTAGCAATATCACCTCATTGTCTTCCTACTTTAGGACTGAACAAAACCGAAAATAGATTTACAAAAGGAGTTGGTTCACTAACTCATAATTTTGGCCATTAAAATCTAAATTTTTTAAAACTGTGATAATGTTATGATAATTTGATGAAAACATGGAAAACATATGTTAAAATGTCCAGTTGTTTCAGTTAAAAAAAAAAGGTTTTCACCTATGGCGTCATTACTGATAAGTGATGTATTTTTGACGTCATAATTGTAGGTGAATTTTGTTTAAAACTGAAGGCAAAATTTATGACAGTTTTCTGAAGAAATAACAGTGGCACCATGCCTTGCCCACACATATTTTTGCTAAAATATTCTCTATATACCGTATTCTTTACTTTTCGACCAAAGGTTAAATGGGCGAGGGGTGAAGCCTCATAAAAAAATCATGAAATAAAGGTTAACAAGAGTGCACACGCTGAAATGTCTCGCCTGTTTTACTGACCATTGAATTTATGTTGAAAGTCTTAAAGATAAAGGTTTTACTACAAGTAACACATAAACTTAACATTTTTAAAGATCCATTACAATGGGCTCAACGTCAGATAAAAACTGTCACACAGACAAGTACACCTTACAATTATTCCATACACCAAATATAGTTGACCTATAATATTGCTTATGGTAATTGAAAAACAGACCAAAACACAAAAACTTAATGTTAACCGATGAACCATAGAAATGAGGTCAAGGTCAGATGATACTGGCTAGACAGACATGTACACCTTACAATCATTCAATACACCAATAATAGTTGACCTATTGCTATTAGTATTTGAAAATCAGACTAAAACACAAAAACTTAACATTGACCAATGAAACATGAAAATGAGGTCAAGGTCAGATGACACCGGCTAGACAGACATGTACACCTTAAAATCATTCCATAAACCAAATATAGTTGACCTTTTGCTTAAAGTACTTGAAAAACAGACCAAAACACAAAAACTTAACATTGACCAATGAACCATTAAAATGAGGTCAAGGTCAGATGACACCAGTTAGACAGACATGTACATCTTGCAGTCATTCCATACACCAAATATAGTTAACCTATTGCTTGCAGTCCTGGAAAAACAGACCAAAACACAAAAAATTAACAATGACCAATGAACCATGAAAATGAATTCAAAGTCAGAAGAAACCTGCCAGTCTGACATGTACCCCTTACAATCATTCCATACACCACATAGAGTTGACCTGCTGCTTGTAGTATCTGAGAAACGGACCTAATCACGTAACTTTAACCTTGATCACTGATCCATGAATTGAGGTGAAGGTCAGGTTAACCCTGTCTGACGGACATGTAGACATTGCAAGGAAGCCATATACCAAATATAGTTATCCTATTACTCATAATAAGTGAGAAATTCACATGGCAAAAAAATTGTAATTTTTTTTCAAGCAGTCACTGAACCATGAAAATGAGATCAAGGACAATGGGCATATGACAGACGGAAACTTCGTAACATAAGGTATCTGCTTACAAGGTATGAAGCATCCAGGTTTTCTACCTTCTGAAATATAAAGCTTTATACAAATAGTTTACGCTGCTGCCGCCACCAGATAGTAATACTTATGTCTCCCATACTGCGACAGGCGAGACAAAAAAGGTGACACATTTCTAGAAAAATGGACTAAAATAAAATGTATTCCTATTTCAGGCTAATGTATTTATAAATATAAAGCAGATATACAACTATTCTTATTATACTTTCAAAAATATTACATTAAGCAATACATACACATAAGATTTACTCAAACAAATGAATTTAAAAAAATTCACCTTTACAGGTGTAATACCACCAAATCATAGTACATCACATCCGGTTTCATACGAAAAAGGGTTGTTTATTGGGGTTACTGGCTCTACTCCTTTCTTGCATAATTTTTGTTGAAAAGTAAGCTGAAATATGGAACCCCCCCCTTGATGTTGGTCTGACATGTTATTTTGCATTTTCTACACTGTTTGTTTCATGTATTGTTTTGATCTTATTAAAGTATTATTAAATTAAAACTGTAATTATTTCTACATGAAATCAGAGAAGATAGACAATATTTATTTTAAAAAATGTCTGTTAATTATCAGATAAGTTTTCCCTGAAACTCATTTTGCATCTGTTTCATAATTATAAAATCTTATGTTGAATCAGCATTAAAGACTTGTTTCTATTTAAACAAACTAATATTCAATCTCTTTCACAGGAAACACAATCCTCATATTACATGTTGGTAATCAGATACACTCTTCAACTTTGTCATTTATTTGGCTTTTAAAACTTTTTTGATTCGAGCATCACTGATGAGTCTTTTGAAGACGAAACGCACGTCTGGCATACAAAATTTCAATCCTGGTTACTGGTATCTATGATGAGTTTATTTATATACACAAAATTGTGGCAAATGGATTGCTCCTTTATGATCAGGTAGAAGTTTGTGAGAAATCATATTCCTCTTTATGTTTTTTATGCAAAGTCCCTCCTTCTGATCGGGGAATACTTTTTTTCACAAGCAGCTGATAGAAAGTGAGGTACAATGTGGTCTCTCTATTAAAGTGATACTCCAGCTCAAAACATTTATTTTGAAGAATAATATTTAGTCGATGATAACTGTGGAATTGTTACCAATCAGAAAACAAAATCAACAATTTTTAGTTATTTAAATATAGGATTTAATTAGAATGATTTATACATGTAATTGATTTCTGAGTGTTAATCTGATTTTTGGGAGAAGGCAGAGAAATTTCTGACTATTGGGTCGAATTTTAATAGGAAAACTGATGTTTTATATTTCTTCTCTTGTAATAAAATGAGTGTGAAAAATTCCTGTAATTTCTGGGGATTTCAAAATAAGTTTCACTGTTCCATTTCCTAATTACAAGAATAATACAAAGGCCTTGTAATAAAAAAGAACTCTAACAGCTTTCAAATGTGAACTTAATACAATCATAATATTACAAGACAGCATTATACAATATAGATAAAAAGTTCAGCGTTTATTGCACATCAAACAAGGCATATACAAGTAAGTTGTAGCCTATTTTAATATTACACAATGTTCATATCAAGGTTTATGATTTATCAATATTTCAAAGTTGAATATAATTTTCTAAAGCCCAGAAAGAAATTGTAAGGAGGGGATGTCACATCCACAATCCATCGTTAGGAGGGAATGTCACATCCACAATTCATTGTTAGCAGGGGATGTCACATCCACAATCCATTGCTAGGAGGGGATGTCACAATCACAATCCATTGCTATGAGGGGATGATCGTTAGGAGGGGATGTCACATCCACAACCCATCGTTAGGAGGGGATGTCACATCCACAATCCATCGTTAGGGGGGATGTCACATCCACAATCCATCGTTAGGAGGGGGATGTCATATCCACAATCCATTGTTAGGAGGGGATGTCACATCCACAATCCATACAAATTTATCAGGATATCTTAAAATATGCATTCTAGTTTTTACACCATCATATTGTGTAATTTAGAAAGCCATCAAAAGCCCTATTTTCTGGAATACAACCTTTCCTGGAAAAAGCCCTAACTAAAAAGATTTTAATAGGATTAAATAAATAATTAAACTGGATGATAAATATTCTCATTTTCTTGTCAAGATAATTAGCCCATTAATAGATGAAAGAGAAACAGAATTGACATATGCCAATTTAAGAATGCAGGACATTTGTCATTTTATAAACATTATTCACTAAAAATGACTAAAAAAAACAATATACTGATATAAATAGTGATTCACTAAACAGCAGTAAAACTGAAATATTTTAAATAAGTTATGATATATCAGCATACTGTGGATTCATTATTATTTGTTGGATACCAATTTTTGTGGATTTCGAGGGTACAGGGAAACCACAAATTTAAATGTTCAACGAATAACAAATTTGCTGTATGATTATTTGCAGACTTTTGGAAAACCACGAAATCAAATATCCATGAAAATGCTTACTCAATCCAAGAAAATAGGTACCCACGAAAATTGGTACCCACGAAAATAAATGAATCAACAGTAGGTAACAAATGATCTGATCACTGGTTCCAACATCAAATGATCTGATCACTGGTTCCAACATCAAATGAAATAAATATTATACAATTATTCATTAATGAATAGCAGACAAATCATATCTATATATATAAAATGTCTTACGTACATGTCTTTACTATAGATTATTGGTAGTTAAACTTATTCAGCATTAAAATATATTTAACTTCCCAGCCTTTTCTACTTAAAACACCCTTTCAAACATATTGAGTATCGTAGATAAAATGATAAATGCATAAATGATACTGTCACACACGGTTAGTAGCTGAGTATGACACAGTTTCTATATGTTGTAATACACTGTCTATAAATGGCCTCTCTGCTGGGTTAACTTTCATTTGTAATAATATTGTGTCCTGTAAAGATTTGGAATATCTGCAAAAAAAGAATAATCAGCTGAACTATACTCAAAATTAAGGAGTTTCTTGGAATACAACATAAATTTCCAGCAAATGTAATATGAACACAACATTTTGTTTTATCATCTATTTACCTATTCTCTGGGATTAAAAAACTTGTCAAAAAAAAAACAGAGCAGTGCTATAATATGAATCTATTTCCCTATCAAATAGGGATTTAAACACCCATTTTGTTCTCTGACTGAACCTAAAGAAATCTGCAGACGAAACACAGAAAGTGCCTTACAATCCATTTTATAACTGCAAATCAGCTATTTTTTATTTTATAATTTTTTTTTACTGAAGAATTCAAGTTTCTTGTTGAGGTACTTAAAGATACAATACTACAAGCAAGAAATGAGAGAAAATGCACATTGGTTGTTTGCGTTGGCTATTATATTTTTATTAATACATTCTGGACAACCTAATTTCTACTCCTATTTTTTTAAACTGTTTGTTATCTTACTTCCTCTTTCTATATATATATATATATATATATATATATATATATATATATATATATATATAAATAGTTGAGCTATATTCAAATAGAAAAATGAAATTCAATTTCCAAACCAGTGTTTAATAAAATGCTCCGCAGGGCTCAGCTTGATACGACCGCAGAGGTCGAACCCTGAACAGTTGGGGCAAGTATGGACACAACATTCAAGCTTGATACAGCTTTGCATTTGGATTGTGATTAAATATTTGACACAGCATAGGTTTCTACACAGAATGAATGTGGTCTAAGAACTTAAAAATTTTAAATTGGACATTCACCTATTATGGTCCAATATCCAAAATCTAAATACATGGTTAGATTCAGCATATCAAAGAACCCCAAGAATTCAATTTTTGTTGAAATCAAACAAAGTTTAATTTTGGACCCTTTTGACCTCAATGTGGACAAAGTTGATAACGGGGCCCAAAAATCAAAAATCTAAATACATGGTTAGATTCAGCATATCAAAGAACCCCATATATTCAATTTTTGTTGAAATCAAACAGTTTAATTTTGGACCCCGATTTGGACCAACTTGAAAACTGGGCCCATAATCAAAAATCTAAATACATGTTTAGATTCAGCATATCAAAGAACCCTAAGAATTCAATTTTTGTTAAAATCAAACTAAGTTTAATTTTGGACCCTTTGGACCTTAATATAGACCAATTTGAAAACGGAACCAAAAATTATGAATCTACAATTCAGGGCTTCCAAAATTTCCTGACGACAGCCGGACATTTTTCAAAGAAATATTTTTGACGGTCAATGATCAGCTGGATACTTAAATGTAACTGAGAGGATGCATAAATTGATATATGTGTCTAAATAATTAGTAGTGTTATATGCAATAAAATTCTTTATAACTGTTTTGTTTTCTTCATTCTAAAAATAAATAAAATATTATCCTCGGTATTGTGTCATTTTTCTGTGTATCGTAATACAGTAACCATCATTGCATCAATCAGCTTCAGTACCTGACTGTTCTCATGTTTTTGTTTCTGTTTATATAATCTATCTTCTCTCTGTGAGTACTTAACACTTTGTAAATTAAGGCCATCTTATTTGAAACTGTTGATGTTGGCTTTAATTGCAGTACAACTTGATCATCAATACACGTGATACTTTTCTTTTTGTGTATTGATTACCTGACCACGTGACTTTTACAACTGATGCGGTATTTATAGATAACATTGAGGAGGCCCGATGAAGGATATTGTTTTAAACCGTGTAAAATCTACTGAACAGTGATAACATTTTTCTTTGTACAATTTCCCAACCTGATTTAGAAAATAAGGAATAAATAAAAACATACTCAGTTGATAAATAATTTAATGAATAACAACATGATATTTTATGTAAGCATATAACAACAATAAAATGTCAGAAGAGCACAATGCTGACAAACACACGCAATAAATATTACAATGAGCACATTGAAAAGAAGCACAGATCACAGCACAAGATTAGAGTTCATTTAGTCTAATTAAAGATTTTACATTCATGAGCTTGCTAAATGCATTGTTCTGATAAACATGGCGGTTACGAACGGATTGCCATTTGCGGATAGCAGGAACAGGGTCAAAGTCTTTAACATCTACACCTACTAAGCTTATCCTCATAAGTTGATCTAAAGCGTCAATACCTAGACTACACCTTAGTCGATCATAATTCCCACGGCGGGACTTAACTTTACGTCGGACATCACCTCTTTCTCTATAACATCGGAAATTGTCTGAATAAATTCGGAGCAGGCATTGTTCTCTTGATATAATTTAGAAGTGATCACGGCACCATTTAACTTAGTTAAATCATTTATTGACTGAAATTTGTCCATTGGTTTTTCCTATATATTTTAGTAAATTTTCCCCTTGAGAGTACCCCAGTATTTAACACGATGTACAGTGTTAAATAAAATAATATATATCATACTTATTCATTTATAAATATCCTTATTTGAAGAATAACTTTTAAATATCAGGATACTTTTAAAACTGAATGCTCATTTAAAATAATATCTATAAAGCGTAATTAAATAGGATGTTGTTCCATACACGCTTACATATTTGACCTCGTTTACCGGATTACCTTTATGTACATTGTTATGCATCATTAATTCTATTGATAAAGATAAGCTAAGGACACCTCATCAAAGGTGACAAACCTGTAATCAGTGAATGATTTATGGCTTCAATATAACTTATTGAAGGGATAATTGTTTGACAGCTTGTTGTTATTTAAATAAAAGAAAACGTGTTTTTTCTACTTTTTATTGATGTACACAAGCTAAAGACCAAGCCGTATATTTATGTACCCAGAGGATTAGATTAACTGAGACACTTCAAAGTATCTGAAATATGCTGCTTCTGTTTTATTAAACCCAATTATGACCGAAATATCTTTGTGAAATAGATTGCCACAATTATAAACTAAAATGCCCAAACGGACATGCCCAAAGCCCCAAACGGACATTTTTATCGATCGATAGTTGGTAAAAATTGAAATGACCGTTTCATGAAAATGCCTTGAATAACAAAATGTGGCACACCAATTCTATTTGACCGTTTGAGGCTGAGAGCAGCCGGTCTTTTTATGAAAGTTTCGGTCAAGTCCGGAATATATGACCGTTTTAGAAGCCCTGATCTACATACACGGTTTGATTCGGCATATCAAAGAACCCCAATAATTCAATTTTTGATGAAATCAAACAAAGTTTAATTTTGGACCTTTGGACCTCAATGTGGACCAATTTAAAAACGGGGCCCAAAATCCAAAAACTTAATACACGGTATGATTCAGCATATTAAAAAACCCCAAGAATTCAAGAATAAAACCCCATTGAAATTGGTCAAGAAATAAGCAATTTATACGAAGTATCTTCTTTTGCACAATACTGTGCAATTAAATATTTCTTGCTATTGCGCAATACTGTACAATTGACAATTTCTTGATATTGCGCAATATTGTGCTATTGGATATATCTTGCTATTGCGCAATACTGTGCAATTGAAGATTTCTTGCTATTGCGCAATACTGTGCAATTGAAGATTTCTTGCTATTGTGCAATACTGTGCAATTGAAAATTTCTTGCTATTGCACAATACTTATTATATAATAATTTACACATCCTGTTTGGTGTGTATCTCCTACCATATCATTATTATTTGCTTTTAAATATAAATCAGAAATAACCAACTTAAAATGGAAAATTTTAAAAGAAAAAAAAAAGGAAAAAAAGAAAAAAAAGGAAAAAAAAAAAATCCCCCCCCAAATTTTTTGAACCCCCTTATGATTCATCACCCCCAAACTCAAACCCAGCTTTCCCTTTGTGATATGGAACCTTGTAGTACAATTTCAGAAAGATCCATACACTTACACACAAGTTATTGTCCTGAAACTAGAAAAATGCTTGTTTTTTGCCCCTTTTTGGCCCCTAATTCCTAAAATATTGAGGCAATTACCCCCATCATCAATCCCAGCCTTCCCTTTGTGGTATGGTACCTTGCAGTACAATTTCAGAGAGATCCATACACTTGAACACAAGTTATTGTCTGGAAACTAGAAAAATGCTTATTTTTGGCCCCTTTTTGGCCCCAAATTCCTAAATGTTTCGACAATTACCCCCAAACTCAATTCCAGCTTTCCCTTTGTGATATGGAACCTTGTAGTACAATTTCAGAAAGATCCATACACTTACACACAAGTTATTGTCATGAAACTAGAAAAATGCTTGTTTTTTGCCCCTTTTTTGGCCCCTAATTCCTAAAATTTTAAGGCAATTACCCCCAAAATCAATCCCAGCATTCCCTTTGTGATTTGGAACCTTGTGGTACAATGTCAGAGAGATCCATACACTAACACACAAGTTATGTCTGGAAGTTACAAAAATGCTTATTTTTGGCCCCTTTTTGGCCCCTAATTCCTTTACTGTTGGTACCATAACCCCCAAAATCAATCCCAACCTTCCTTTTGTGGTATTGAACCTTGTGGTAAAATTTCATAGAGATCCATTCACTTAAACTAAAGTTAGAGTGCGAAAACCAATGTGTCTTCGGACGACGCCGGACGACGACGACGGCGACGCCAACGTCATACCAATATACGACCACAAAAATTTTTTTGTGGTCGTATAAAAAGTGGTACAAAGTCAGAACTTCTCAGTTTTTACAAATGGACAAACATAAAACACAAAATGAAATAAAAGTTTATAATAACATTTTTTATTTGGCGAAAAAATATTCATATGGTCTAACAATAAACTTATTGGCAAAGATGTGGTGAAAATCCATAATAATTGCACTGCTTTACTTTTAAAGTACTTAAACTTATGAATATGTAAAAAGACAAGTAATTTTGGTTATACCACAAGTCAGTTCATTTATTGTCAAGTCAAAGAAATAGATTTGGAGTTTAGTATGACGTCCATTATCACTGAACTAGTATACATATTTGTTTAGGGGCCAGCTGAAGGACGCCTTCGGGTGCGGGAGTTTTTCTCTGCATTGAAGACCCATTGGTGGCCTTCGGCTGTTGTCTGCTCTATGGTCGAGTTGTTGTCTCTTTGACACATTCCCCATTTCCATTCTCAATTTTATTACAGGACAACTGAAATTACTTTACACATGTTTCCATCATATAACCTTTGGTTATACAGGGCTAACACCATCATTTATACTTTGTCGGAAATTTACAAATTGAAAACTTGATTTCTTGATATGATCAAGCATAATTTAGGGTTAGGTAAACTCTCCAAGTGTTCCAGATTTAACATTCCTATTTTTTTTTTAAATTACACTTGAAATTAATTAGCAAACTTGAATGATACAATGAAATAGAATTGTTTATGGTCAAACATGTAAGAGATGAGACTTACCCTCGATTATCTTCTGGAAATTTGACTCGACCACTTTGAGCAGCCAGAGCTATACTTCCACCATGATTATAATCACTCTCAAATGGTGATGTCAAGTAGGCTAATGCATATAACAAGCAACCTAAAGACTGAAATAATAATCCTGTTTACAATTACTTTTGTACTTTTTAAATACTATACATTTCAGGATATGTTTGATTCAAGTGAGACATGGAAATGCTAAGTTTTATATTTTTTTTAAATCACTTAATGATGTCACCAATTTTGGAAAACTTATTTTTTTCTATATCATTGGCAATCATATCATATCTCCTTATGTACAATATGTACACCTTACAATGGTTCTATACACCAAATATTGTTGATCTGTTACTTGTAGTTACTAAGATACTGACATATCAAAACTTTATAAATGAACAATAAGACATGTAGGAAAGCCCCATTTCATGTTAGCAGGTCTATAACTTTGAGATTGATTTCCATAGCTGTCAGTGTTCTTTGATACAGTGTTGTTTATTTTGATTTGTTTGTACTTGTATTTTTATAATATATAATACCATTATTATAGAATTAAGTGCTTTGATAGTCTCTGTTAAACTTATTCCAAACTTCCTTAGACTGTGGAGAATCATGTGTTGATGGCTGATCTTTGATAGTCTCTGTTAAACCTATTCCCAACTTCCTTAGACCGTGGAGAATTAGGTGTTGAGCTGATCTTTGATAGTCTCTGTTAAACTTATTCCAAACTTCCTTAGACTGTGGAGAATCATGTGTTGAGCTGATCTTTGATAGTCTCTGTTAAACTTATTCCCAACTTCCTTCGACTGTGGAGAATCATGTGTTGAGCTGATCTTTGATAGTCTATGTTAAACCTATTCCCAACTTCCTTAGACTGTGGATAATCATGTGTTGATGGCTGATCTTTGATAGTCTCTGTTAAACTTATTCCCAACTTCCTTAGACTGTGGAGAATCATGTGTTGAGCTGATCCTTGATAGTCTGTTAAACTTATTCCAAACTTCCTTAGACTGTGGAGAATCATGTGTTGAGCTGATCTTTGATAGACTCTGTTAAACTTATTCCAAACTTCCTTAGACTGTGGAGAATCATGTGTTGAGCTGATCATTGATAGTCTCTGTTAAACCTATTTCCAATTTCCTTAGACTGTGGAGAATTAGGTGTTGATGGCTGATCTTTGATAGTCTCTGTTAAACCTATTTCCGACTTCCTTAGACTGTGGAGAATTAGGTGTTCAGCTGATCTTTGATAGTCTATGTTAAACTGATTCCCAACTTCCTTAGACTGTGGAGAATTAGGTGTTGATGGCTGATTTTTGATAGTCTCTGTTAAACCTATTTCCAACTTCCTTAGACTGTGGAGAATTAGGTGTTGATGGCTGAATTTTGATAGTCTCTGTTAAACTTATTCCCAACTTCCTTAGACTGTGGAGAATTAGGTGTTGATGGCTGATCTTAAATAATCTCTGTTAAACTTATTCCAAACTTCCTTAGACTGTGGAGAATTATGTGTCGATGGCTGATCTTTGATAGTCTCTGTTAAACTTATTCCCAACTTCCTTAGACTGTGGAGAATTAGGTGTTGATGGCTGATTTTTGATAGTCTCTGTTAAACCTATTTCCAACTTCCTTAGACTGTGGAGAATTAGGTGTTGATGGCTGATTTTTGATAGTCTCTGTTAAACTTATTCCCAACTTCCTTAGACTGTGGAGAATTAGGTGTTGATGGCTGATCTTAAATAATCTCTGTTAAACTTATTCCCAACTTCCTTAGACTGTGGAGAATTAGGTGTTGATGGCTGATTTTTGATAGTCTCTGTTAAACCTTTTTCCAACTTCCTTAGACTGTGGAGAATTATGTGTCGATGGCTGATCTTTGATAGTCTCTGTTAAACTTATTCCCAACTTCCTTAGACTGTGAAGAAGTTACAGCTTGACATATTTACACTGATGTACTGCTGACCTCTATTTGTCTTCTTTGTGTTATTGTTACATTTGGTGTGGACCCTTGTCCTTACTAAATACTGTGTTCTAACCTTATGATGTCTTCATTGATAGCTGTTGGGTTTCTGTCTCCTTAATGTATACCCTAAATCTCCTATTATTCATCATTTGAATGACTTTTAAGAAAATCTAGAGGATATACAATTTTTTTAATTCAACATTGGAATACTAGTGTATGTCTGTTACATCAATATTACCCAAATGTCTGTTCTTTCGTCTACGCTGGAACCCAGTTCTGGATTAAAAAGTTCTGGTGCCCTGTAGAACATAGAACATCTTTCTGCTGCTTCATCCTACAATATGAGTATAAGATTTTCAAGCATACATTTGTAGATTAGTATTATAAGAAAATCTTTAAAACAAGTCATTTAGTTTTACAAACATCAAATTCTATCTATTCATTTTAAATCTAGTAATTTAAGAACATTTTTTATACAAGAAAGCTGCAATTAAATTTAAAACTGACATGTGATAACTGAGAAATATATGAATGGTTTATCATTTGCCGTGGAATATATATACCTGTATATATGGGTCATGATTTTCACAAAACTACAATATATTAATGAGGGGTGCTTTTCAATCCCCCAGCGTCATGTCTGTACTCGAAATTTGAACAGTGATTCTTATTCAATTTGAGAACTTATAATTATTTCTAAGCCTGACTTTGAATCAAAAAATTCAAACTTGATCTGTGTTTTGTGGTAATAAGCATTGTGTATAAGTTTCATAACATTTGGTTGAGGCAAACTCAAGTTAGAGAACAGAAACCAATTTTGGGTTGTACGGACGTAAATACAAACGGTCAATGGTAAAACTTAATGCCCCCTCCGCTACGGCGGGGGCATAAAAATAGAATGTATCATGTTTGTTTGAATACTACTAAGTCTACTAGCGTTACATTGTGCACATGACCTTTTGTCACCTTTCATTGCATGATAATTAGGACAATCACTGAGATGTAAAAAGCTGATTATATTTAATTGTTGAGTTGATACTTAAATAGAGCAATTGATACAATACTGCATTTTGACATCAGGACCACAGAGATATTTCAACTCATGCCACATTTTTAGTCAACCAAGTTCAAGACAACAAGAGAACACTGTATAATCAATATGTCTCACCAGTTGCAAAGAGTAGTTGTAGAGTAGATAAAAAGTTACCTGCAAGCTATGTGCCTGAGATGGAGTTTTGATCTCTACTCTAGCTTTATTTGCAGACCCTAAATCCATTATTATTGCTGTCCCATCATCTGCTAACATTATATTGGCCATCTTCAGATCTCTACATAAAAGAAAACATGTTGTAATGGCCATCTAGAGATCTCTACATAAAAGAAATAAAATTATATTGGTCATCTTGAACTATCTAGAAAGAGAATAGAAATAACATTATATTGGCTATCTTGAGATAATTACATAAAGAAAAAGAAATAACATTATAATGGTCCTCTTGAAATCTCTACATATTGTAAAGAAATAACATTATATTGGTCATCCTGAAATCTCTACATATTGTAAAGAAATAACATTATATTGGTCATCTTTGATATCTCAAGATTAAATTAGAAGTAGCATTAAATTGGCCAATCTCAAATCTTGGGACTTTTTATTTTTCAACACTAATTCATCAATTTAAAATAAAATTAGAAAATCCCCCACCCCCTAAATTTTTTTTTCCGTCAAGAAGACACTCTCTCTATAGTTATATAATAACAAAAAGTACTTCTCTACAACTTAAAAATACACATATAGTGTTGAATCCCATATAAACATTTGTAAAAATCTTTCCTATTTACTTTCTTTACATGTAAGGATGGTGAAACGCCTTTCAGTATATAGATTATGGTACTAACAAGAAATACAAGTTATTGCAAACTTTGACCCCAAATCAAACACTAGAAAAACACATAAATCTATTGTTTTACCTGTGAGCATATGGAGGATCATGTTTATGGAATACTTGGAGTCCAAGACAGATCCCCTTAAACAATCCCCATACACTTTCTTCTGGAAACCTCTCTGACTTCTTACTCATCTTTTCTATTATGTCTTGTAAGGATCCTCTCTGAGAATATACATATAATCTCTTTATTTCCATTATTGTATAAATATGTTCTTTGACAATGACATGTATTGTAGTGGTGATGAAATGAACCAATAGTGTATACATGTTAGTATACTATGTAAGCAATCTGATTTTTAAGCATATTTTACACAAAATAGCTACAACATACTTTGGTTTCATAGTGTTATTTCTAACACTTGTTTTAACAAATAATCCTTACGAGTAACTTTAACATTCAATTCTTTCTTTCCACTTGTAATTCTTTAGCAAAATACAAGTTTCTCTATCTTCTGACAGTTTTTGTCATGTATTATGTTTTTTGGGGTATTGCAAAATTGAACTGCTAAATATCATCTTGCCAAATAAACTTCCAAACTTGTAGAACAGAAATGGTTACTTCTTGTTAAAAAATAAAACAAATCTGATTAATTAGTTGTGTAGATGTGACTGTATGGAAATTGTGAAAACACTTTTTACCAATAGAAATAATTATCTAATAGCCCTTATTTACATTACAAATACCATTCATAATTTACAAAAAAAAAACCAAAGCAATGAATAATCAAATTTATAAACTATCTAATAAGACCCTTTGGAAATGTGAATTTAAAAAAAAAATCCTTAATTGCAGTTTTACACCTTTTCTTATAAACTAAAGAATGACCAACATTTGTTTACATTCACTTCCTTTGATCTCTGTTGGATAGTTGTCATTGATAATCATACCACATCTCCATATTTTATATCCATAACTTCAGTAACTAGAGGCTCTTAAGAGCCTGTGTTGCTCACCTGTATTTACTGATGCTTTGGAAATCATGTAAAATAAGGTTAAAATCATAATTAATAATATTAGATATTAGATATTATAATGATATCTAAGATAATAACAAAAAACTGCAAAATTTCTGTAAAATTTCTAACTCAGGGGCAGCAACCCAACAACGGGATGTAGGATTCGTCTGAAAATTTCAGGGCAGATAAATCTAAATCTGATGAACATTTCTTCCACCTGTCAGATTTGCTCTAAATGCTTTAGTTTCAGAGATATAAACCAAAAACTGCATTTTACCCCTATGTTCTATTTTTAACCATGTTGGCCATGATGGTTGGAAGGCGGGGTCATCGGACAATTTTTTAAACTAGATACCCTAATAATGATTATGGCCAAGTATGGTTAAATTTGTCTCAGTAGTTTCAGAGAAGAAGATTTTTGTAAAAGATTACAAAAATTTACGAAAAATTGTTAAAAATTTACTATAAAGGGCAATAACTCCTAAAGGGGTCGACTGACAATTTTGGTCATGACGACTTATTTGAAGATCTTACTTTGCTGAACATTATTGCTGTTTACAGTTTATCTCTATCTATTATAATATTCAAGATAATAACCAATAAAATGCTCCGCAGGGCGCAGCTTGATACGACCGCAGAGGTCGAACCCTGAACAGTTGGGGCAAGTATGGATACAACATTCAAGCTTGATACAGCTTTGCATTTGGATTGTGATTAAATATTTGACACAGCATAGGTTTCTGACACAGAATGAATGTGGTCTAAGAACTTAAAAATTTTAAATTGGACATTCACCTATTATGGTCCAATATCCAAAATCTAAATACATGGTTAGATTCAGCATATCAAAGAACCCCAAGAATTCAATTTTTGATGAAATCAAACAAAGTTTAATTTTGGACCCTTTCGACCTCAATGTGGACAAAGTTGATAACGGGGCCCAAAAATCAAAAATCTAAATACATGGTTAGATTCAGCATATCAAAGAACCCCATATATTCAATTTTTGTTGAAATCAAACAAAGTTTAATTTTGGACCCCAATTTGGACCAACTTGAAAACTGGGCCCATAATCAAAAATCTAAATACATGTTTAGATTCAGCATATCAAAGAACCCTAAGAATTCAATTTTTGTTAAAATCAAACTAAGTTTAATTTTGGACCCTTTGGACATTAATGTAGACCAATTTGAAAACGGAACCAAAAATTAAGAATCTAAATACACGGTTAGATTTGGCATATCAAAGAACCCCAATAATTCAATTTTTGATGAAATCAAACAAAGTTTAATTTTGGACCCTTTGAACCTCAATGTGGACTAATTTAAAAACGGGGCCCAAAATCCAAAAACTAAATACACGGTTAGATTCAGCATATTAAAGAACCCCAAAAATTAAAGAATAAAACCCCATTGAAATTGGTCACGAAATAAGCAATTTATACGAAGTATCTTCTTTTGCACAATACTGTGCAATTAAATATTTCTTGCTATTGTGCAATACTGTACAATTGACAATTTCTTGCTATTGCGCAATATTGTGCTATTTGATATTTCTTGCTATTGCGCAATACTGTGCAATTGAAGATTTCTTGCTATTGCGCAATACTGTGCAATTGAAGATTTCTTGCTATTGTGCAATACTGTGCAATTGAAAATTTCTTGCTATTGCACAATACTTATTATATAATAATTTACACATCCTGTTTGGTGTGTATCTCCTACCATATCATTATTATTTGCTTTTAAATATAAATCAGAAATAACCAACTTAAAATGGAAAATTTTAAAAGAAAAAAAAAAGGAAAAAAACAAAAAAAAAGGAAACCCCCCCCCCCCCCCAATTTTTTGAACCCCCTTATGATTCATCACCCCCAAACTTAATCCCAGCCTTCCCTTTGTGGTATGGTACCTTGCAGTACAATTTCAGAGAGATCCATACACTTGAACACAAGTTATTGTCTGGAAACTAGGAAAATGTGTTTTTTGGCCCCTTTTTGGCCCCAAATTCCTAAACGTTTAGGGCAATTACCCCCAAACTCAAACCCAGCTTTCCCTTTATGATATGGAACCTTGTAGTACAATTTCAGAAAGATCCATACACTTGAACACAAGTTATTGTCCTGAAACTAGAAAAATGCTTGTTTTTTGCCCCTTTTTGGCCCCTAATTCCTAAAATATTGAGGCAATTACCCCCATCATCAATCCCAGCATTCCCTTTGTGGTATGGTACCTTGCAGTACAATTTCAGAGAGATCCATACACTTGAACACAAGTTATTGTCTGGAAACTAGAAAAATGCTTATTTTTGGCCCCTTTTTGGCCCCCAATTCCTAAACGTTTCGGCAATTACCCCCAAACTCAATTCCAGCTTTCCCTTTGTGATATGGAACCTTGTAGTACAATTTCAGAAAGATCCATACACTTACACACAAGTTATTGTCATGAAACTAGAAAAATGCTTGTTTTTTTTGCCCCTTTTTTGGCCCCTAATTCCTAAAATTTTGAGGCAATTACCCCCAAAATCAATCCCAGCATTCCTTTTGTGATATGGAACCTTGTGGTACAATGTCAGAGAGATCCATACACTAACACACAAGTTATGTCTGGAAGTTACAAAAATGCTTATTTTTGGCCCCTTTTTGGCCCCTAATTCCTTTACTGTTGGTACCATAACCCCCAAAATCAATCCCAACCTTCCTTTTGTGGTATTGAACCTTGTGGTAAAATTTCATAGAGATCCATTCACTTAAACTAAAGTTAGAGTGCGAAAACCAATGTGTCTTCGGACGACGCCGGACGACGCCAGACGACGACGACGACGACGACGACGACGCCAACGTCATACCAATATACGACCACAAAAATTTTTTTGCGGTCGTATAAAAACTGCAAAATTTCCTTAAAATCACCAATTCAGGGGCAGCAACCCAACAACGGGTTGTCAGATTTGTCTGAAAATTTCAGGGCAGATACATCTTGACCAGATAATCAATTTTACCCAATGTCAGATTTACTCTAAATGCTTTGGTTTCAGAGATATAAGCCAAAATCTACATTTTACCCCTATGTTCTATTTTTAGCCATGGCAGCCATCTTGGTTGGTTGGCGGGGTCATCTGACACATTTTTAAACTAGATACCCTAATGATGATTGTGGCCAAGTTTGGTTAAATTTGGCCCAGTGGTTTCAGAGGAGAAGATTTTTGTAAAAGCTAACGACGACTAACGACGACGACGGACGCCAAGTGATGAGAAAAGCTCACTTGGCCCTTTGGGCCAGGTGAGCTAAAAAGGACTTATATCATTCATATGTAAGGGATCATTCAATTCTTAAACAAAACTTCTGTTCTATTTATAACTAAAAAAAATCTACAAGGTCTACCAAATTTGTTTTCCCTGCATACATTTTAATGTCTATATGCCATGTCAGAAAACATCATAAAAATCACATAAACTGAAGACAAAAAATGAATAACAGTGAACCCCATGCCTATAAATTTTAAATGAATAAATTCAAGTTTTTGCTGGCAAATTCATATTTCTATTCAAAAGAAATCTGCAGAAACAAAATTTTCAAAAAATCACATTTCATAATGAAATCTTCTTATTTTGAAATTTTCATGTTCATTCTTTTCATTATATGTGTTTGAAATAAGTTTTGGATTCACTATATGACTATACATATAAATGTTACAAATAATTGATTTTCAGTAGGAACACATGAATATACATATGCATATACATACTATAAAATGAATGTGAGACAATTATTACGATTATTATGCAGTTAAAAAAGAGGCAGAAGATAGCAAAAGGAAGGAACGTTTTATTGCTTTCAATCCAGGCTTTGTCAACATTAGAAGATTTTGTGATTGGACTTACTGAATAATAGGGCATGACAATGAGGACTTCATTAACAATATCTAGATGTTTGTGATTGAACTTACTGAATAATAGGGCATGACAATGAGGACTTCACTAACAATATCTAGATGTTTGTGATTGGACTTACTGAATAATAGGGCATGACAATGAGGACTTCACTAACAATATCTAGATAGTTGTGATTGGACTTACTGAATAATAGGGCATGACAATGAGGACTTCACTAACAATATCTAGATGTTTGTGATTGGACTTACTGAATAATAGGGCATGACAATGAGGACTTCAATAACAATATCTAGATAGTTGTGATTGGACTTACTGAATAATAGGGCATGACAATGAGGACTTCACTAACAATATCTAGATGTTTGTGATTGGATTTACTGAATAATAGGGCATGACAATGAGGACTTCACTAACAATATCTAGATGTTTGTGATTGGACTTACTGAATAATAGGGCATGACAATGAGGACTTCACTAACAATATCTAGATGTTTGTGATTGGACTTACTGAATAATAGGGCATGACAATGAGGACTTCACTAACAATATCTAGATGTTTGGAATACTGGTTGACTTTAATGACAGAGGACTCCTCTAATGGAATGATGTTTGGATGTTGGAATGTTCTCATTAATTCTATCTCCTGCAAAGCTATCCTTTCTTCCTCGTTAGAATGACATGTAATTCTCTTAAGAGCATAGTCTTTGTGAGTTCTGATGTCCTCTATCAGGTCAACATAGCTAAACCCACTGTAAAAGAAAAAAATGTCAACATAGCTAAACCCACTGGAAAAGAGAGAAAAAGTCAACATAGCTAAACCCACTGGAAAAGAGAGAAAAAGTCAACATAGCTATAAAACCAACTATAAAAGAGAAAAAATCTTTAGATTAGGTTTTTCATATTCTTAAAATGCTCTTAACAGTTTTAAAATTAATAAAATGTTAAACCTTTGATAAATATTTCTGTACCAAACATGTATACACTTACCCTTCTCCTAGTCTTGATCGGAGATAAAATCTTCTATTATTGATGCGAATAGCTTCTTTCCCACAAATACAGCCCATTCTAATCAAACCAAACAGGGCGTCCATTTAGCTATCATTTTCCCCTGAAAATGAATTAAAATAATCAGCTGCATTGCAGTTATTTGTAACAATAAGGAGATGAGACATAATTGCCAATGAGACATCTATTCACCAGAGTTCAAATGAAGTGGATGTAAGCAATGATTGTCAACTGTACAACCTTCAACAATGAGTAAAACACATACTGTATAGTCTGCATTAAAAATGTGAAACAGTTCAAACAAGAAAACTATCTGCCTGATTTATTACAAAACAATTTACAAAAAACAAATATCACAGGAACCAACTACCATATGACAGAATATTTATGATAACATTCCTAATATGTTATGCAAAAACATACTAATGTTTCATTAATATCTGTAGGGTACCTATTTTGTGGATTTCCAGTGTATAAATGAACCACATACCAAAATTTTCAATGTCAGAAATACATATTTCCTATAGCCTTGCATTTCAATTTGAAAAAAAAATAAATTGCTTCACCGAGCGCAGCTGGATACGACCACAGGGTCCAACCCTGAACAGTTGGGGCAAATATGGACACAATATTCGCGCTAGATACAGGTCTGAATTTGGATTGTAATTAAATATTTGACACATAATAGGTTTCTGACACAGAATAACGGTAGTCAAAGAACTTAGAATTGGTTATATGATTTGAATTTATATTCAATTTTTTGCTTTTGTGCAATACACTATTGACCCCCCCCCCCCCCCCCCCCCCCTTTTTTTTTTGCCAAAAAAATAATATTTGGAGAATTAATCCTTTTTAATTTCTGAAATCTGAAATGAATAAAAATTGACCCCCAAAATTTTCTTTTTATCCCCCCCACCCCAAACAAATTTTTTTTTTTTCACCTCCCCCCCTTTTTTCCCGAAAAAAAATTCTTTCCCTCAAGGTATGGTCATCATCTCAATTCAAATTTCCAATGGAGTTTGCAACCATAATTACCCATTTAAATACATCATAAAAGTCTTAAAATAGAAAATATCATACATAATCATGGCTAAAATTAATATTCCTTAAAAATAAATTGACAGCTAATCATCTCAAGACAATACAACATTTCTTTATACATAATTTAAAAGCAGTGTTAGGGAGGTAATCAAAACGTTGTGTTTGGATTTCCTCCCTTACACTGCTTTTAAATTGTCTTCAGTAATTGTCCATTAACCAGGAAACCCTTGTTTTTCCCCCTTTTTTGCCCCTAATTCCTAAACAGTTTGAGCCATAACCCCCCAAAGCAATTCCTAACCATCCCTTTGTGGTATGGAAACTTGTGGTATAATTTCAGAGAGATCCATACACCGTTCCACAAGTTATTGTCTGGAAACTAGAAAAATGCTTATTTGGGCCCCTTTTTGGCCACTAATTCCTAAACTGTTAGGACCATAACCCCCAAAATAAAACAGTGAAGTACACATTTTGCGGTTAATGCAGTTAACCGGAAGAAATGTTACAATAATGGTTGTTATGACCACGTTATCGATAAAAAATAAAAAGTGAAAGTGAAAATAAAAATAAATAAGATGAATAGAAAATGAAAGTCAATAAAGTTATAAATGATGGTTGGCTGCTATTCACACATGTCTGTATATAGTCACAGCCAACCACTGTTTATAAGACTATATACAGACGTGTGTGAATAGCAGCCAACCACTGTTTATAAGACTATATACAGACGTGTGTGAATAGCAGCCAACCACCGTTTATAAGACTATATACAGACGTGTGTGAATAGCAGCCATCCACCGTTTATAAGACTCTATACAGACGTGTGTGAATAGCAGCAAACTACCGTTTATAAGACTATATACAGACGTGTGTGAATAACAGCCAACTAGCGTTTTATAGCTTTAATACCTGAATCACGAAATGAAGTCAAGATCAGGTATATTTTGTCTGACACAGAGTCTAAACTAAATACATGTAGTTTTACCCCTTACCCATAATGACTGAAAAAAATGTGATCTAAAAAATACAGTTCTTTAAGCACTCTTTGATCTTGTAACCTGTAGATTCAAAAGTTTATCGTGAAGACTGCAACAGACATATAAGCTAAATAAATCTTATAAATGACATTAAGGACAACAGACATATAAGCTAAATAGAAACTTTTGACTGTAGAGCATCTTTTTACTAAGTCCAAATATATTTATGACATCTTGAAAGGCTATTTTAATTTTTTCTGTGAGGAAGGCGTCACAGAAAAAAAATTAAAATAGCCTTTCAAGACGTCATAATTATTTGGACTACTGTTTACCATGTTTACCAGATATCAATTATCAAGAGATGTGTTACCAAGGTAATTATATCATTATTGTCTTAATTGAATAAAGCGGATATTGCAAATTCATTTTAGTGCTATTTTGAAGAAGGATTTTTCGGATGAATTAAAAAGATCTTTATCTTGATATGGTATGGTGACACGTCCAATGGACATTATTTCACTGTGTGTCCATCTCGTAGTGATAAATCCAAATATCCCTCACCTCCCTAACAATATCTGCAAATGATGACTTGGTCTGTTGAAGATAATAGTTTTACCAGATAGCATGATTAATCTTCCAGTATTGTCCACTGACGGGATTGGAACCATGGACCCCTGACACAGTAAGTGACCCCTCTACCAACTGAGCTAAAGGAGTACTCCACTAGCCCAGCTAATGCCGTAATAGACGTATTTACACTTGTATGCAAATTTGTCCGCCATTACGTAAAATCACACAGGTTCCTGTAAACTTTGACATCATCAGTCAGGGGTACTACTTAAACAAGTCATTTCAAAATCACTTCTTCAAGTGATTTGGCTGTGAAATATTAAAAATTTTCACAAAAATAGACACAGACTTTTTAAAATCACTGAAACAAGTAATTTGAGAAGTTAAAATGTAATCACTTCAACAAGTGCTTATAACATTTTCTTGATATTTTCCCCACAAGCTTGCCTTTTTTATTGGTAAAAAGACAAGAATTCCATTGAAAAAACAATTATGTACATGCAGAAATTGTCTTTTGCTTGATTAGCCTGTCAGTTTTTACAGTTTATTTAAAATATGCAAAAACTGGAATAATTTGTAGATCAGGACATAACCTTGAAGTAGATCATTATAACTCTAAAGAAAACCAATCAGGTTACCTAATATTGTTGACCTTTGTCTGATAGTAAGAGTAGTTAATGAATATTTGATTATAGAAAAATTCCCAAGGGTACTTTTAAAAGCTTTAGCACACTAACTTACTGTCCAAGGGCACTGGTGAAATTCATATACAAAAGAAAGGGATAATAAGTTCTATGTAGGAAAATTATAGAAAAGTTTGTCACAATATGGAAAATCACTGAAATTGGCATTTGAAGATCAAAGGAAACATCAAAATAACTTAAATAGGTGATAACTGAATTTATCAAATCGCTGAAATAGGTGATAATGAAATCACTTGTTTAAGTAGTACCCCTGACTGATCATAATTCAAAACATTTGACGTCACAATTAAAAAGTGATTGTTGCCTGACGTCAAAATGAAATTGAGAATGGAAATGGGGAATGTGTCAAAGAGACCACGACCCGACCATAGAGCAGACAACAGCCGAAGGCCACCAATGGGTCTTCAATGCAGCGAGAAACTCCCGCACCCTGAGGTGATTTGGAGTAGATCTTCTTCTTCTTCTTTCGGTTTTCAGTAGTCCTTCAATATCTGAAGATTATATACTGTTTTGCGCTGCGTGGCCAATATATATATTTACAAAAACACAAAAATAATTGAAAATGAATTTGGAGTGCGTAAGAATTTTAAATTGTGATTAAAACTATGTACATAGGCTAATAATGAGTTAAATGAATTTGTGGAGAACAGTTGGTGTAAGCTGTTCTCTGAAAGTGTCGACTGTGGTTACAGCGACTGTGTGGACTGGTAGTAAATTCCACTGAGTAATGGTGTACAGAAAAAATGAAAATTTATATGTATCTCTTTTAGTAGAAATGTGTCTGAAAGTGAAACTGTGGTTTTTGCGGGTTCTACTGTCTGATGGTATGAGAATAGCAGATGGGATTGCTACGATTTGATGAACTATTTTGTAGAACATTATCAATCTTGTGCATAGTCTTCTTTCTTGTAGTGTGGGCCAGTTTAGTGAGTTTATCATGTCTGTAGGACTACTGATGTTATGGTACCTGTTACAGACATATCTGGCAGCTCGTCTTTGGACCGTCTCAATTTTAGAGGTTTGTTCAGCTGTGTGAGGGTCCCATACTGAACATGAATATTCAAGCTTAGGACGAACTAGTGCCAGATATGCCTGGGTTTTGATGTTCTGACATGATGTTTTTAAATTTCTTTTTAAGAAGCCCAAAGATTTGTTTCCATTAGCTATGATGTTGTCTGTATGTTTTGACCATTTTAAGTTTGCTTGTAGTGTAATGCCCAGATATTTAGCTGAAGAGACTAGTTCAAGTTTGTGATTGTGAAGGATATAGTCATGTTTAAACTGTTTTCTCTTTTGTGATACTGTGAGGACTGTGCATTTGTCTGGATGGAAAGCCATCAACCAGTCTTGTTCCCACCTAGCAGCTGCATCTAAATCTAACTGGAGTTCATCACAGTTACTTTGAGATTTGATGGTTTTGTAGATGATACTGTCATCGGCAAACAGTCTGAGCTTACTGGATTGTAAGTATTCTGGTAGGTCGTTGATGTATACCAAGAATAATACAGGGCCCAGAACTGTGCCTTGAGGGACACCTGAGGTGACTGGAGCCAGGTCAGATGACTCTCCATCCAGGACAACTGTTTGTGTTCTGTCATTTAAGAAGGCAGAGACCCAGTTTAGTGTTTCATTTTGAATACCATAGTAGTTCAGTTTATAGAGAAGTCTTTTATGAGGGACTTTGTCAAATGCTTTGGCAAAGTCCATTATAATTAAGTCTGTTTGTGTGTTGTTGTTGTTATTTGCTGCAAGCTCTTGGATGAATGAAATGAGTTGGGTTTCACATGATCGTGACTGTCGGAAGCCATGCTGGAGGTCATACAGTATATTGTTCTTTTCAAGGTGGTTGATGATGTGTTTGGTGATGATATGCTCTAAGGTCAATCGGAGGCAAAATATAGCTAAATACCAAAAGTGTAAATACGTTTATGGAAGATGGTTATAAAACTTTATGGTTAGGGGAAGCACTCAACTTAGCTTCCATAGCTCTTATGTTTTTTATGGGGTGGAAATATTTTTGCAACATCTAAAAAATTTCTCCTAGTAAAAAAATTAATTTGTATATCTTCCATTGAGGGGAGGGGTACAGACTAAATTTTCTTACTGTCCTGTAGGAAATTAGTGAAGAGCTTTCGCTTTTCCTCATCTGATTTGGTTTTCCAGATGGCATCAGCTATAGTATACTGTTTGTATGAATTTACAAGCATGTAGTCTCCAGAATGATGAAGGGCCGACCGAAGATTAATGAACTGGAAGTCCACCATGTCATATAGTTTATCAACCAAATCTGGGGCATGTTGGGGCTTCCTGTGGACTGCCACTTTCATCACCCGGTTCATGGATTCTGCATTGTTGTTCGTCCACAATTAATTGGTGCCCAAACGTCTATTAGGTGCATTAACGAATTCTTGAACTATAGGCTTAAAACTTTGTTCGTAATACTTCAGAAACTGAGGATAATTTGCACATAAGTCCTTGAGTTCTGAATCTGCACTTGCAAATTGCAATGTGTCGTCTGCATTTGCAATTCAGTGATCTCCAAAGATTGTGTTGATGATGTTCTTTCTTTCTTGGGTGCTGACACCAACACGATCTTGAAGGTAATGTTGTATATTGTCTTTTAAATGTTTCGTACACAATCTTCGTTTGGCGGTTGGGAATGCCTTTTCTATCGCCTTGGTCATCGCCTTTTCATCATCACTGCCGAACTCTATATTTTCATGGAGACGAAGTTCTACATCATTAATAGCTAGTTCAAGTGTGGCAGAAATGTGTGAAAAGAAGGCTCTGTATGTGGTGTATGACGCATCCTTGTGTAGAAGCATTGGTCCTGCAAAGATTGGATGGTCTTTTGTTTCTTTTCTATTTACCCGCAGGTTCTTGTAAACAATGATGTGACATAAAAGCTTCCGAGATTGAATGTTCTGTCAACTCCCAGAGGATGCTCGGACGTTTGTGCTAGGAAATGTCTCAAATCTGTTATTTGGCTTTGTGTGTAACACACTATTGCTGGTACTTGATTTTTGTTATGGATGATTTGTTGTACAAACGGATGTGTATCGAGCAACCCGACAACGGCAAGAATTTCATCCGCAACATTAGCATAAGCAGGCTGTGTTTTAAGTTTATTCCGATACTTGGCATTTCTTATTTGTTTCGTATCTCTGGGTGCATGTATAGAATTGTCTCTATTCATCTGTATGAAAACCTCTTTACTATCTTTTGATGCACATTCGTCTACAACTTTTTCTAACGCTTTTGGGTGGGTTCTTACATAATTCTTTGCATTTTCTAAAGAGTAGGTACCAGAATATTCATACACTGCAATGGATGGTAAATCATTTGCAAAGGACGAATTAAACCATGTGACGTGTTTTATAAAAGAATTGCTATCTTTAAGTACTGTACTATATCGGTGCATAGTAACAATGGATGTAGATTCTGGTTGAGGCGCTATCGGTACAAATAATGTCTTTCCACCCTGTCTAACTTTTGTGCAATATTGGTCATTTTTCAGAAATATGGTCCGGAAATTGTCTGATAATAAGTAGTCTTGGTGGAAGACCTTCCCTTTTGAAGATTCCCATATGCCACAATCATCATAATATTTGGAATGACGGTTATTTGTCTTTCTACTCATGTTATCAACATTGTTAACTAAGAACCATGTGTTCGACTTATTTCCAGGTGGCGCATCTTCAAAAACATGTGACTTCTCTTGGACTGCTTTCCAACAATCTAAAGCTGACAAAAATTTTGGAGCCAATCGTAAATTTGACCAATGATATTAACAGGAAATAAAATATTGTCCAATTATTTTTTTCGGAAGTAAAAGATGATCCAATAACATTTACAGGAAGCAATTGTGATTCCAGTACTTTATGGTTTCACAATTCAATTGTCTAACACAAGTTTTGAGACGTCGCTAACAAAACAAAAAATGTGAAATGACTTCTTCTGAGACATTGTTAATAAAACAAAAAGTTATGTAGGACTTCTTTTAAATTTCCGTTTCTTTTGACAGCGTGATTGAGTTATATAAGCCATCTGTTCTTTTCAATTTTTAACACAGACCTCATTAGTGGGTTGTTTTTGTTTAATTAATCTAAATAATGACCATAACATAGATGCATTTCAAATAAAATTTAAATATATTCATAATAAGTAATCAGTCAAAGTCCTCAATCTCTTAATCTCTTTCCGTCGGTTAGATTTTGATATTTGTCTCTTGTCTTATTTTATATAAGAAGAAGAAAATGAATAAAATATATATGGGATGTCACTCAGGGTGTCGATGACGGTGGTTTGCGGAGTTGTCATGTTATGGACTCTCCTTTTCTGTTCGGCGTGTTCAATGTAGATATATTTGATATTTTAATCTTTCATTTCATATGATTTGTTGAATTAATAACTGAAATAATATATTTAGGTCACAATTAATACGATAAAACAAAAACAAAAACAAATTTTGCGCTATTCGGCGATATGCGGTTTGCGATCGTTGATGAATAGATTTACCGTCTAATTAATATTATTTAATGCATTTTGTAAAGTTATTTTAATGTTATGTTGCATATTTAAGTTGTTTTGTTGTTTGTTTTTATGTTCTGTGGTATATTTTGAGTGTTCTGTGGTATTCTGTGGTGTTCTGTGGTGTTCTGTGGTATTCTGTGGTGTTCTGTGGTAAAAAGACGCTCCGTTGGAATAGCCCATTATCATAGGCATTATGCGCATCATGTCTCTGCCTCTGGTGCAAGTTGAAGTTGTCTATAGAATGGGGAAAAAAACAAATAAATGTGGGAATGTAATTAGACAAAACGCAGGAGTAGATGAAAGTCTGTGCATATAAACTAGATAAATGTATTTTGTTGAATTTACATTTTCAACCATCAATCTTTGAAGATATTTTGGCAATGAGTACGTGTAGTCTATTTTCAATTTCTAAAAGTTCATTGAACAAGGAGTCTTTCACCCGGTACATTGAATAACAGTTTTGTAAAACGCTTCTTACACTATGAATTACGACCGGAAGTTATTCTGTCAAATTAATCAATAATTCGGAAACGGAGGCAGAGGCAGAAGATGGCAGATCCAAAATATGCTAATTTACCAGGCATTGTAATTGATTTTGATCATTTAATGTTTTTTGCACTAACATATATAATCCTTTTTTCATTTAAATAGTCACAAAACGAACCAGCTCCTGATCCTGTCAGGTGTGTAAGTTTTCACCAGTTCAGACATCAGATGACTCATGATCCAGCATATCATGAACATGATAGAAGTCCTGCAATACATGATCTTCCAACCGGTGCTTTTTCCAAGAAAAATAAAAAAAAGTCTCAAAGCAGATATCCTCATGTCATATTGTCCCATGACATGTTTTCCCCCTGAACAGTTCATTCATAGAAGACTCATACAAATGTAGAATCGAAATTGTATTGTGACAGGATTGCTTCCCTTAGTAAATGTGGTAGATACTTAGTAAGTCGTAAGCAGTTGAGCTAAGGAAGTACTTCTTTAGCTCAGTCGGTATACACGCTGCCTTGTAACACAGAGGTCCCAGGTTCGAGTCCCGGTGGAGACAAGCGATTTTGTAATGAATCCATGCTCTCCGGTTACAATATTATAACCAACCTCAGGTTGTTTTTTAGGCGGGTTAACTTTTACCCTTGTCCATCTGTATGTACATCCGTACGTCCCAAAATTGGTTTCCGTTCTCTAACTTGAGTTTGCCTAAACCAAATGTTATGAAACTTATACACAATGCTTATTACCACAAAATACAGATCAAGTTTGAATTTTGGTGGCGTCACTTTAACCGTTCTAGAGTTATGCCCCTTTATTTATGGAAAAATTCCAAAATTTTTAGTTCTCTAACTTAAGTTTGTCTCTACCAAATGTTATGAAACTTATGCCCCTTTATAAATTGAAAAAATAAATGCAAAATTTTTTAGTTACAGTTCTCTAACTTAAGTTGCCTCAACCAAATGTTATGAAACTTATACACAATGCTCATTACCACAAAACACAGATCAAGTTGAATTTTGGTGGCGTCACTTTAACCATTTATGATTATCGAGTTATGCCCCTTTATAAATCGAAAAATTGCAAAATTTTTAGTTTCCGTTCTGAAACTTAAGGTTGCCCCAACCAAACATTATGAAACCTATACACAATACTTATTACAACAAAACTCAAATCTAGTACAAATTTGGGTAGCGTCACTTTTATTGTTTTTGAGTTATGTCCCTTTATAATGTTGTGTGCAAGTGAAGGCATCATCTGTGTCCATGGGGACACATTTTCCATTTATTTATGAATGAGTTACTACAGTTGACAGAAGGTCAAAAGGTGTAAACGACATCTTCGAACAATCAGTAAGAATTCCAAGGTCCATATAACCCAAAATCTGTCTCTGAATAACCTTCTGGCGCCATGCAATTTTTATTCGTTAATTATGATGTCAAATGTTTAAAATATCAAAAAAATGACTTTTACTTATATGTAGATAGCATATCCATATCATTCATTGTCATTATTTTTTTCTTGTTAATTGCATTATGTTTTATTTACATTATTCATGTGTTATTTGTCATGTTGTATATGTCATATCAGAAGTCCATTACTAGGGGAAGTGTGCAAGCTGTGCTATATACAATGTAGTAAGGCGATCACGATGTTCCCATTATCAGTGGAAAGTGCCATAGGTGGTCCTCCCAAATCTCGTTTTATAAGTATGGAATCATGGGTAAAAATATTATCATAAAACAGATAACTGCTAATTAATCTCCTTCGGTTTTTTACTGATTATCAGTATGTGAAAATGAATAAAAGCAACAAAGATCCAAGTACACAGTGCAATACTTATTTAGATTATTTACCAAAACTGAAGACTACAGCAACTGAATGTAAAGTGGCTTCAAAGACAACATCAACCCAGACAAATAGAGTAAAATTTGAAGTTACAACAGCTTCTGTTGCAGTATTGGTCAATAATTCCGTTTTATTGTCGAGCTTGCGACTTTTGTCGCAAAAGCGAGACATAGCAATCCTACATTTCGTTGGTGGCGTCCACAAATATTCACTCTGTGGTTAAAGTTTTTGAAATTTTAATAACTTTCTTAAACTATCCTGGATTACTACCAAACTTGGACAGAAGCTTGTTTATGATCATAAGATAGTATCCAGAAGTAAATTTTGTAAAAAAAAAATCCTGTTTATCCGTATTTTACTTATAAATGGACTTAGTTTTTCTGCCAGTTAACATAACATTCACTCTGTGGTTAAAAGTTTTTAAAATATTAATAACCTTCTTAAACTATCCTGGATTGTACCAAACTTAGACAGAAGCTGGTTTATGATCAAAAACTAGTATCTAGAAGGAAATTTTGTAAACAGTTTTTTCCGTATATTACTTATAAATGGACTTAGTTTTTCTTACAGTTAACATTACATACAGTCTGCAGTTAAAGTTTTTAAAACATTTATTAGATTCATAAACCATCCTGGATTTTTATCAAACTTGGACAGAAACTTCTTACAATTAAAAGATAGTATCTAGAGTAAAATTTTAAATAATAATAATAATAAGAATAACTTTTTTCATACATTTCAAACGTTTTATTTCATTAACTGTAAATCTATTATGTGTATTCCCCTATCACACTGAAAACATAGACAACAGCAAAAGTAGACAAGACAACGCAAAAGTTAGTGTTCCTTGTTATACTTACCAATCATTTAGATTTGTTCCATTGGCTCTGAGAAAACGTCCGGACAAAATTAGGTGGAAATATAATAATAATAATAATAATAATAATACAGAAAAAGAAACAGAGGAAAAGCAATATTTCACCCGACATTGTCGATCGGGTGACATAATAACAACATCGTCATAGTTTACATGGTATTAAATTGTGGTTAATTGTAACTTCACAATAAGCAAGATTAAAATTTTACAAAATACAACTTTTTTTTATAGTTTTAATGCACAGGGTTAGATAACATCTATAATAAACTAGGATTTAGTTTATTGGTTGATTGTATTTAGCACCACTTTCAGCACTATTGTGCTATTTCGTGGCGGTCAGTGACATGACTCTTTGTGTCACTCGACTATAAAGCAGGGTTTATATTCCATGTATTTTTACCGCATCATTCTTTACTTGTCCTGATATATAATATATTTGCAACTGGATGTTAAACATCAACCTATTATCGCCATCATGTTTATGTACTGATGATATATTGTAGGCTATTAGGTTCACCAGGGTTTATGAACTGTTGATATTTTGTAGGATATAGGTGCACCAGATGTTTATGAAACAGATGAATTACCTGAAGATGAACAAGCTTTACAGACATCCAGTGAAGTCAAGGTAGGTACTACATATTCATTAAGCTTTGCATATTCATGAAGTCTTAAAGATAAGGGGGATATTTTCATCCCTTGGTGTCTGCTGTCTTTGTCGTCAGTAAACTTTTATAAACATATCCACTGAACTACTGTGCCAATTGGAACTAGTCAACTCTTTGCACAAGTTAATCCCATTGAATAATGATTTATGTGTTTTTGGCATATTATCTTGAAAACTATAATAGCTAAATAGAAAGTTAAGATTGCAAAAATGATTTACAAATGAATCAACATGGGCAAAATCATTGCTCTACCTTTACAGGAATTTTTGACCCAAAAGGAGGATTTTTATGGCCCAGCAACAAAGTCTAAACGCCTTCAGATATTGGGCTGATTTTTGGTATGTGAGTAAACCATGATGAGTTACAGATCAAATTTAGGTTTCCTTCTACTCTGCTAATTTTTGCCGAAATTATGGGCTTTGGACTTCGATAAATTGTTGAAAATCACAGTTATACAGACTTTTTTTCTATACCCCTTCAGATATTGGGCTGATTTTTGGTATGTGAGTTAACCATGATGAGTTACAGATCAAGTTTAAGTATCCTTCCGCTCTGCTAATTTTTGCCAAAATTACTGGCTTTGGACTTCGATAAATTGTTAAAAAAATCACAGTTATACAGATTTTTCTCTATATGCCTTCAGATATTGGGCTGATGTTTTGGTATGTGAGTTAACCATGATGAGTTACAGATCAAATTTAAGTTTCGTTCTGCTCTGCTAATTTTTGCCAAAATTACACACTTTGGACTTTGATAAATTGTTGAAAATCACAGTGAGTCGTGTAAGTTGTAAAAACAGCAGAGAAATGTGCAATAAAAGATTTATTTAAAAAAAAAAAAAGAAAATCACAGTGATCCAGACTTTTTTTCTAAAAGCCTTCAGACATTGGGCTGATTTTTGGTATGTGAATTAACCATGATGTGTTACAGATCAAGTTTATGTTTCTTTCCGCTATGCTGATTTTTATGTCATTTCAACACATCTGCAGTACATCTGCAGTACATCCACTTCCTGTTTGCTGATAGTTTGAAATTTAACTACTCATTGATCAACATGATCAAGGAAATTTTTCATCAAACTAGTATTGGTCTTGAGAGCTGGATACTATCCATACATGTTTGTGTCCAAGTGTTGTTGAAATTGCAGATTTTTCAACTTTTTGAGACACATCTAGTTATCATTTTTTTCCTTTTTTAACCAAAGCTAAAGTAGATAAAGGCAAACTTGTAAACAACAAAAATGACCGGCATGACAGGATCTGTAATATCATATTGACATAATTGTTGGGCAACTCCTTATAGGAGTTATTGCTCTTTAATGATGGTTTTGACCGATCTTTTTTGGCATATTATGCAAAAACTGTAATAGATAAAGAAAGATGTAAACAGCAAAAATGATAAGCATGACATTATCAACAAAAAAAAACTAATGAATAACAATGAATTATATTCCAGTCGTCAATGTTTAGAATGCACATAGATCCAGGTGAGGACACAGGCTCTCTAGAGCCTCTAGATTTTGGAGTAAAGATTGCATTCATGTAATCAATACCCTTACATGTATGTGATAGTTTTCAATTTTTCAGACTTTATCACTTCTTTTGAAATAAACAAAACATTATGCATTGAGCAATAACAGGCTAATTTTATGTCTATTCATGATAAAAGAGAAAAGATTCTGTCTAATAATTTCTTGATATATATACAGGAAGAAGAAAATGAAAGTATAGACAAATCAAACATTGACACATCTTCTGCCCTGGGCAAGTTTAAAGGCAAAGACCTGAAATCAACAAATATAGGTTAGTAATAGTATTACATGAAAGCAACAAATATAGGTTAGTAATAGTATTACCTGAAAGCAACAAATATAGGTTAGTAATAGTATTACATGAAAGCAACAAATATAGGTTAGTAATAGTATTACATGAAAGCAACAAATATAGGTTAGTAATAGTATTACATGAAAGCAACAAATATAGGTTAGTAATAGTATTACATGAAAGCAACAAATATAGGTAAGTAATAGTATTACATGAAAGCAACAAATATAGGTTAGTAATAGTATTACATGAAAGCAACAAATATAGGTTAGTAATAGTATTACATGAAAGCAACAAATATAGGTTAGTAATAGTATTACATGAAAGCAACAAATATAGGTTAGTAATAGTATTACATGAAAGCAACAAATATAGGTTAGTAATAGTATTACATGAAAGCAAAAAATATAGGTTAGTAATAGTATTACATGAAAGCAACAAATATAGTTTAGTAATAGTATTACATGAAAGCAACAAATATAGGTTAGTAATAGTATTACATGAAGTATATTTTTATGTTTTATTGATGGTTAGCAGAACCAACCATTGTCGCTATTGGTTATAATAGTACTTATTTTCATATTTATATATTGGTATTTGTATACTCAAAATTAAGACTTAGCCTGTAAACCATTACATTTTTTTGGCCTGACTACTCTCTGCTGAATAAAGTGAATTTGATAAAAACTGAGTAGCAGACCTGCCAACTATCCCGATTTATGTGGGATATCCCCCATGAGAGGTGTTGACCTGAATTTTGAAATTCTTTAATATATAAACTTAAAACCTTAAAACAAGCATATAAATAAGATAAAAATTTGTAAGGGTTCCGCGGAACCCAGTGTCTCGCCTACTTTTGCTGTTAATTGCAGGCTCAACAAAAATGAGGAAAAAAATTAATAAAAATATTCCTTTAGATACTATCTTTTGATTGTAAGAAGCCTCTGTCAAAGTTTGGTATAAATCCAGGATAGTTTATGAATCTAATAAATGTTTTAAAAACTTTAACTGCAGACTGTATTTAATGTTAACTGGAAGAAAAACTAAGTCCATTTATAAGTAAAATATGGATAAACAGGTACAACTTTTAACAAAATTTCCTTCTAGATACTAGCTTTTGATCATAAACAAGCTTCTGTACAAATCCAGGATAGTTTAAGAAAGTTATTAAAATTTTAAAAACTTTAACCACAGAGTGAATGTATTGTTTCCTGGCAGAAAAACTATTTATAAGTAAAATACGGAAAAATTGAAATTTTTTTTTATCAAATTTACTTCTGGATACTATCTTATGATCATAAACAAGCTTCTGTCCAAGTTTGGTACAAATCCAGGATAGTTTAAGAAAATTATTAAAATTTTAAAAACTTTAACCACAGAGTGAATGTATTGTTTCCTGGCAGAAAAACTAAGTCCATTTATAAGTAAAATACGGAAAAAATGATTTTTTTTTTTTAACAAATTTACTTCTGGATACTATCTTATGATCATAAACAAGCTTCTGTCCAAGTTGGGTAGAAATCCAGGATAGTTTAAGAAAGTTATTAAAATTTCAAAAACTTTAACCACAGAGTGAATATTTGTGGACGCCGCCGACGACGGAATGTAGGATCGCTATGTCTCGCTTTTTCGACTAAAGTCGAAGGCTCGACAAAAAAGGGTATTTAAGCACATATATACTAATTCAAACAATACAGTAGCAGATTAAAAACACTTATGACAATATAAGAGGAGCATAAGGTCCTCTTGCGATTCAATTCACACATGGAGATTTTGAAAAGGTGGCAGGTATGGAGTAGGCTATTTTCTGACAGATTGAAATGGTTGAATTGAGACAACTTTTATATTGAATTAGTAATGGTAGTTATTTTATCATCCATAATATATATATGATCTAGCAAATAGAAAACATTGATTTTAAATGTTAAATAACATTCCACATTTTGCTTTTGAATCTATATCTGTCTTGGGCTTTTCCACTTATGGTGAAATATTTTACATTGTCATTCATATATATATTTATATATTATACATAAGTTATTATTTTATAACAGACTTTTCAGACAGAATTACATCTTCAAGAAGAACAGGCTACGATGCAGATAAAACAGAATATGAAATGGTTTGTGTATAAACTTTAAGGAAAAAAAGCAGTCACTTTAACTGATATATGTTGAAAGTGTACTGTTTGTTTAACAATATCTTAACAAATTAAAAGCAATTACCATATTATTGGGTATATTATAAAATATTTCAGGAAATAGAATTCATTTTTTTTGGCATGATCTACATTTGAACAAAATATTTTTAAAGAATCTCATGGTAGATAAATAAGATGGTAAACAGGAGTTTAGTAATGTTCAAAACTTGAAAATCTATTTTGAATATACAAACATACAGAGTGCCAAGTTCTCATATTCTGTCACAAAATTAAACAACAGCATTGTAATATTGAGTTAGTATCAGGTTCTCCTTGAATTCATTGACACAACATTTCAGAAGTTAATTTGTTTCTTCTGTATAGTAATTTTAACACTCTCTTAAAAAAAAATAATACATTTAATCATACCTGAAAATGGTATGATATGAATTTTCGGTCCAGTGAAATTAAAAATCTAAAACTCTTATAAATCTATTATAGAAGATTAGAAGTTAATAAGGATTAAGTATTTTTTTTCAATTTTTGTCTTACACATTTTACATTAGGCCTTTTAAATTCTTGCATTTAACTTTAAAAAGGTAACAACAAATTGTATGATGGTTGTTCATGATCATTTTTGTCACAGTCTTTGTCATCTGGCCATGGTCTCAATGTTCAGGTTACTGAATACTTGAATAAATATTTCTAAGATTATAGCTGAAAATAAAAATGAAATAATTAAATTAGAACTGTCATTAAAAAAATTGAATGAAAATGTAGAAAACTTCCAGGATAATAATGTTCAAAATAAAATAAACAATGTTGAGAAAAAACTAGAAAACCTTTACATAAATGAAGCAAAGGGAGCTCAGGTTAGATCGCGTGTAAAATGGACAGAAGAAGGAGAAAAAAACACAAAATTTTTTATAGGCCTTGAAAAATCCAGACAAACTCGTAAAAATATTTCTGCCCTTTCAAATGAAAAAGGAGAAACTATAACAGATTCATCTGAAATTCTAAAGTTAGAAAAAAACTTTTATGAAAACTTATATAAAAGTACAGATCCTAATGAAAATGAAATAAAAAAATATATAAAAGAAACAAAAGTAGATAAAACTCTTTCTCAGGAGGAAACTCAAAATCTAGAAGGGGAGCTTACTATAAATGAATGTACAGAAGCTATTAAATCCATGAAATTAAATAAATCACCAGGTATTGACGGGCTCAGTGTAGAATTTTATCGAACCTTCTGGACAAATTTAAAAGAAATTGTTGTAAAAGTATTTAACATATGCTATCAAAAAGAAGAAATGAGCACACTACAAAAAATAGGGGTAGTTTCTTTATTATATAAAAAAGGAAACCCTCTTCTTTTGGACAACTATAGACCAATTACTTTACTCAATGTTGACACAAAACTTATGGCATATTCTTTAGCATTACGTCTTAAGCCAATACTAACTAAAATTATCCATAGTGACCAAAATGGTTACATAAAAAATAGGTATATAGGTTTCAACATTCGTCAGATTCAAGACATAATAGACCATGCAGAATACTATAATATTGAAGGAGCATTGCTCTTCATAGATTTTTCCAAAGCTTTTGACTCATTGGAATGGCCATTTATGTATGAAGCACTAAAGAAATTTGGACTTCCAGATCTTTTTATAAAATGGGTTAAAACTCTGTATAAAGATATAAAAGGTTGTATGTTAAACAATGGGTGGGTCTCATCGTCATACAACATTAAGCGCGGTATTAGGCAAGGCTGCCCGTTAAGTTCCCTGATTTTTGTTATTGCCGTAGAAATTTTGTCCTGCAGAATAAGACAAGACACCAACATCAAAGGTTTTCAAATTAAGCTAGATACTAAAACACATAGTTTAAAGATCTCACAATTAGCTGACGACACAACACTTTTTCTAAAATCAAAAAATGAAGTATGTCACACTCTTAATATTATTGAAATCTTTGGAACACTATCAGGTTTAAAACTTAACAGATCAAAAACAGAGGGCATTTGGTTAGGAAAATTAAAACACTGTAAAGATAAGTTTGAAAACATAAAATGGAATAAAGGACCAATAAAAAGTCTAGGAGTTTATTTTGGAACAAATCGAGCTGAATGTGATAAGCTTAATACTGAAAAAATAATACAAAAATGTGACAAATTAATAAGTAATTGGAAAAAAAGAAATCTTACAATGATAGGTAAAATAACAATTGTAAAATCTCTTCTTATACCAAACCTTACATATTTGGCTTCAGTCACAAACCTACCACATGAATTTATTCAACAGTTTAAAACCCTTATTTATAATTTTATATGGGATGGTAAAAAAGAAAAAGTAAAACGAACCACATTAAGCAAAGATACTACTGATGGAGGTCTTAAGATGACAGATATAGACAATCATATAACTGCACTACAAATAGCATGGATTAAAAGACTAACTGCAGATAATTTTGCTAACTGGAAAGTGATTCCGACATTTTACTTAAATAAATTTGGTGCTAATTTCATGTTACTTTACATGAATCCAGATAACATTTACTCCATACAAAACCTACATAAAACTTTACCAAAATTCTACTTAGAAATTGTAAAATCCTGGTTCAAAGTACAAAATTTAAATAACACCAAACTCACGATGAATTTTAAAAACATTAGACAACAAATCTTATGGGGAAATAAAATGATAAAGTTTCAAGGAAAGTGTTTAATTTTTATAAAATGGATAAAAGAAGGTATTATGTATGTTAATGATATTATTGACCAGAATGGTAACATCTCTCAAGATATAATATCTAATAAAATACCCTCAAAATCCAATTTAATGTTTGAAATTTCAAAAATTAAATACGCTATACCAAATGAATGGCTCAAGACACTTAAATCAGATCAATCAATAAAATCAAAAGTAAAAAATAAACTTAACCTTTGTATTAAGACAAAAGAAAAAAATAAAATAACAAATTTACAAGCAATGGAAACAAAACAGATATACACACACATTAATAGTAGAAATGAAGACATACCTTCAGGTTTCTTAAAATGGAAACGTGTACTAAATTTAGATTCTTTAATCCCAATTAAATCAATGCTAAATTTCGTATTTACTTATTTAAAAGATAACAGATTAAAACTATTTAAATGGAAATTGTTGCATCATATCCTTCCTTGTAAACAACAGCTCTTTCAATGGAAGATAAAAGAAGACAGTAAATGTGACTTATGTAATGAAACAGAAGATTATAAACATTTTTTTCTGGAATGTCAATACTTTGAAGCTTTTTGGGAAAAGATCAAAATACTATTAAATAAAGTTAAAATTGGTCATCATATCCTAAACTACAGAAATCTCATAGTAGGATATAAAATCTGTGACATCAATTATTATGACATAAATCTTTTGGTAACACTCATTACATTTTCCATCCACAAGTGTACTCACATTTCAAATTATAAAACTACAAATCTTGATGTATATGCCCTGTTCAAAAAAGATTTTTTGAACTATTTAAATATTTCGACACTAACAGGAGTTAAACATGGTAACATTTTGAAAGAAATAAGCTTGTACATATAATTATTATTTTATGCATATATGTTATATGCTATATTTATTCAGCAATACATGTGTCTCATCATTATTTAATCTTTAGACCACGTGTTGTGGACTTCGTCATGATCATGATCAGTGATAAAACATTAAACCCCAATTATCCTAAAAGCATCCTTATTTTTTTTTTTTAAATCACATATTCACAAATAACTAAACTGATATAAACACATCAATTCGCAACCAAGTATGTATACCTACATAATTAATAATAAGTACAAGCAGCTTCGCCAGTCAGCTTGCCTCCATCGTATGATCGTTGATCAACAGGTCATGACCAGGTCAACTAACATATACAGAGTCAAAGCGGTCCACGATTGTAATTTTTCCGGAAATTAATTTCTGAAGTAATCTGTTGTATTGATACATAGAATGTAAATCTAACAATTTATTATTATTAATGTACTGAGCAATCTCCCTGTTTGTTCAGTAAAACTAATCCTACAGGGGTGCCCTGTCAAATGCTGTAGACATGGTATTCATTATAACAGCAATAGTGCAATAAATCAGATTTTAGATAAAAAAAAAAAAAAAAAAAAGATTATAGAATGTATGTAGATCAAACCAGTTATAGAACTACACTAATCTTTATTACTGCAGCTGGAAGAAGGAAAAATAGAGACTCCACAACAGAAGTACCAAAGGATACAACATGAGATTAGGGAGCTTGCAGAGGAAGCAAATAGAATTAAGGTAAAATACTTGGAACTTTGTATTGCTTTGTCTGTTAACACAAACTGTAATAGCATAATACTTAAAACATATTTTGATAGGTGGACATTTCTCTTCATACAACACTACACTAGTCTCTACAAGTGAATTAAACCTAAAGTTTGTATTTGAACTATCTTTCCTTTAGCCAGTGAATCAAACCTAAAGTTTGTATTTAAACTATCTTTCCTTTAGTCAGTGAATCAAACCTAAAGTTTGTATTTGAACTTTTTTTCCTTTAGTCAGTGAATCAAACCTAAAGTTTGTATTTGAACTTTTGTTCCTTAGTCAGTGAATCAAACCTAAAGTTTGTATTTAAACTATCTTTCCTTTAGTCAGTGAATCAAACCTAAAGTTTGTATTTGAACTTTTGTTCCTTAGTCAGTGAATCAAACCTAAAGTTTGTATTTCAACTATCTTTCCTTTAGCCAGTGAATCAAACCGAAAGTTTGTTTTTCAACTATCTTTCCTTTAGTCAGTGAATCAAACCGAAAGTTTGTATTTGAACTATCCTTCCTTTAGTCAGTGAATCAAACCAAAAGCTTGTATTTCAACTATCTTTCCTTTAGCCAGTGAATCAAACCTAAAGTTTGTATTTGAACTTTTGTTCCTTAGTCAGTGAATCAAACCTAAAGTTTGTATTTGAACTATCTTTCCTTTAGCCAGTGAATCAAACCTAAAGTTTGTATTTGAACTATCTTTCCTTTAGCCAGTCAATGAAACCTAAAGTTTGTATTTGAACTTTTTTTCCTTTAGTCAGTGAATCAAACCTAAAGCTTGTATTTCAACTATCTTTCCTTTAGCCAGTGAATCAAACCTAAAGTTTGTATTTGAACTTTCTTTCCTTTAGCCAGTGAATTAAACCTAAAGTTTGTATTTGAACTTTCTTTAAATTAGTCAGTGAATCAAACCTTAAGCTTGTTTTTCAACTATCTTTCCTTTAGCCAGTGAATCAAACCTAAAGTTTGTATTTGAACTATCTTTCCTTTAGCCAGTGAATCAAACCTAAAGTTTGTATTTGAACTATCCTTCCTTTAGCCAGTGAATCAAACCTTAAGTTTGTTTTTCAACTATCTTTCCTTTAGCCAGTGAATCAAACCTAAAGTTTGTATTTGAACTATCTTTCCTTTAGCCAGTGAATCAAACCTAAAGTTTGTTTTTCAACTATCTTTCCTTTAGCCAGTGAATCAAACCTAAAGTTTGTATTTGAACTATCCTTCCTTTAGTCAGTGAATCAAACCTAAAGTTTGTTTTTCAACTATCTTTCCTTTAGCCAGTGAATCAAACCTTAAGTTTGTATTTGAACTTTCTTTCCTTTAGCCAGTGAATCAAACCTAAAGTTTGTATTTAAACTATCCTTTCTTTAGCCAGTGAATCAAACCTAAAGTTTGTATTTGAACTATCTTTCCTTTAGCCAGTGAATCAAACCTAAAGTTTGTATTTAAACTATCTTTCCTTTAGCCAGTGAATCAAACCTTAAGTTTGTATTTGAACTTTCTTTCCTTTAGCCAGTGAATCAAACCTAAAGTTTGTATTTGAACTATCCTTCCTTTAGCCAGTGAATCAAACCTAAAGTTTGTTTTTCAACTATCTTTCCTTTAGCCAGTGAATCAAACTTAAAGCTTGTATTTGAACTATCTTTCCTTTAGTCAGTGAATCAAACCTAAAGTTTGTATTTGAACTATCCTTCCTTTAGCCAGTGAATCAAACCTAAAGTTTGTTTTTCAACTATCTTTCCTTTAGCCAGTGAATCAAACCTAAAGTTTGTATTTAAACTATCTTTCCTTTAGCTAGTGAATCAAACCTAAAGTTTGTATTTAAACTATCTTTTCTTTAGCCATTGAATCAAACCTAAAGTTTGTATTTGAACTATATTTTCTTATGCTAGTAAATTAAAAACATTTGCATTTGAAAATTATAAAAAATTTTGATAAGGCCACACCAATTTAATCTTGTTTTACGGATTTTTCCACTCCAGAAATTGGGGCGAGCGAGCGATTTGAAAATTTTAATAAGAAAAAATTTTATTTGCAAACTTTTGAGGCAAAGCTTAAAAAGTAAAGGCGAGCGATTATATTTTTATAGGACCGCAATTACTTGTATTACTGTTACTTTCTGAGAACATCAAATCTTGAACTGAATAATTGAATAATCATTTCAACTGCCTTAAATGATCTCCATTGAATTGTCATAGATGTCTTTCCTCCTTCATGGGACATGACTTGAAACTAGCAACACAGCGGGTGTCTTTCAAGAAGTAGGAACTGCTCATCCTTCCGGAACACCTGAGTTCACCCCCAGTTTTTAGGGGTTCGTGCTGTTCATTGATGTGTGTACATTTTAGTTTTTTGTGTTATATGTTGGTTGTCTGTGTATCTGTCGTTTTGGTGTTCTCATTTTGATCTTTGTATAAAAATAAGATGTGCCAATGAGACAACTCTCCATCCAAGTCACAATGTATTTATATTTAAAGTTAACAATTATAGGTCAAAGTACAGCCTTCAACACGGAGCCTTGGCTCACACTGAACAGCAAGCTATAAAGGGCCCCAAAATGACTAGTGTAAAACAATTCAAACACGAAAACCAACGGTCTTATCTATTTTCAAAACGAGAAACCCCTATGAACCACACCAATAAACGACAACTACTGGCTCCTGACTTAGGACAGATGCATAAAAATGCAGCGAGTATGGATAGTTTTGCTTAAAGGTGTCTGTATTAGCACATACATCTCCTTCAAATTTCTAAGTTCTTTATTCTAACAACGAAAATCAGCATGTTTTGTGAAGAATCGTCCTTGACTTTGATAAGAAATCTGTGTTAATGCTCGCAACAGTTTAAAGGGTTAGATTTGACATTGACTAAAACACTCTGGCGATTGCTTTTTTTAATGTTTACAAAAATACTGGCGCTGGAAACAGACACGATTACTTTTACGGATGCGGGAAGCAGGAATATTTAAAAGTATTTTTTTTTCATTTAGAAAAAAATATGTGCGGGCGGGTCCTTCGATCAAGGAATTAAATTGGCGTGGCCTAAGATTACATTTTACTAAAAGACTGAATGTTATTTACAGGAGAATGTAAAAGAGGAAGCTAACACAGAGAAACTGAACCCTGTAGCCTTCAGTAAACAGCTGGAGTATTTACAGCATCAGCTGAGTGATTTACAACTAGAAAAATTACTGGGACCTGATACAACAGTGAACCTGTCTGATCCACAAGGAGCTTTACAGAAGTGATTACTTAATATATATACCTATAGTTTGACCAAAGTACTTCTGACTGCTCCATATTCTGAATTTCAAATTTCTTTAATTTTCTTATACTAATAATTTTTACTGAAAGTTAAACAGTAGATCTCATGTCCTTAAATAATCATGTGTTGAAATTTTAATTGAATGAATAAAAGTTGATGTGAGCTGTAAGACAACGAAACAGCAATCCAACAAAAAAAAAAGATTGAAAGGTCAAGATACTGTATTCAACAATAAACAATTGTCTACAAAAAATGTCAAGTTTAAGTCATCCTGATTCAAAAAACGTTGTGAATAAATTTATCAGAGACAAAGTTCTGCCATCAACATCATATTCTCTCAAGAAAAAATATCCAATAAGATAAAACTTAATACAGCTGCTGATGAGATATCGGGACAGGTATATGAATTTTTATATGATTCTTATAGGTAAGTTATGATGAAAGGTATGCTTATACTACACACAATGTAAAATCATCATAAAAAGGTTCTTTTATAATTAAATCATACAAATAGACACAATAAACATGGAAAATATGTAAAGTTTTATGTTTGATCAATATTTCAGGAGACTTATGACACAGTTACAGTCCTACAAACCAGTAGACAAATCTAAAAAGACACCTGATGGCAAGGGAGAAGACTGTGTAATGTATGAATTATACCACAGACCAGAACAAGCACAGTTCTCTAGAAATGCTAAGGTAATGTCATAACAAAGGCAAAATTCTTTCTTTCTTTATAACAATTTTATTTTATATACTGATAGAAAGTCGGATACATGCATGTGATAGACTGTAAAACTCAGATCAGGAAATTGGGAAATTTTGGTCAGGAGCTAAGACCTCGTATCAGGAAGATTTTTATTGACATTTTTTTTTGTCATAAATGTAACCATCATATGTAAAAAGTGTCCTTTTTTGTGTTTTTTTTTTTATTTATTTAAGAAAAGTTAAGTTTGTTCAAAAACCAGTTTTTATACAACCACAATTTTGTGGCCGTATAACGGATTAATGTTGTCGTCATCTTAGTCCAATGACATTTCCTGACAATAACTTGAGTATATGGATCTCTATGAAATTGTACCACAAGCTTCCATACCTCAAAAGGAAGGTTGGGATTGATTTTGGGGGTTATTGTTCTAACTGTTTAGGAATTAGGGTCCAAAAACAAGCAATTTTTCTTGTTTCAGGACAATAACTTGTGTATAAATGTATGGATCTCTATGAAATTGTACCACAAGGTTCCATACCCCAAAAGGAAGGTTGGAATTGATTTTAAGGGTTGTGGCTTAAACCATTTAGGGATAAGGGCTAAAGAACAAGGATTTTCTGGTTTCCGAACAATAACTTGAGTATAAGTCTTATGGATCTCTATGAAACTGTACCACAAGGTTCCATACCAAAAAAGGAAGGTTGGGATTGATTTTGGGGGTTATGGCCCTAACTGTTTAGGAGAAAGGGGCCAAAAACAATACTTTTCTAATACTTTGTATATACATGTAAATTGCTTATTTCTTGACAAATTTCAATGGGGGTTTAATTCAAAGTCTTTAATTCTTGGAGTTCTTTAATATGCTGAATATAAACTTAGATTTTGGAATTTCGGCCCCGTTTTTAAATTGGTCCACATTGCGGTCCAAAGGGTCCAAAATTAAACTTTGTTTTATTTCATCAAAAAATGAATTCTTGTGGTTCTTTGATATGCTGAATCTAACCATGTATTTAGATATGATATTGGACCATAATAGGTAAATGGCCAAGTTCCAATTTTTAAGTTCTTAGACCACATTCATTCTGTGTCAGAAACCTATGCTGTGTCAAATATGTAATCACAATCTAAATTCAGAGCTGTATCAAGCTTGAATGTTGTGTCCATACTTGCCAGGGTTCGTCCTGGGCGGTCGTAACAAGCTTTAATGTACTTGTGACAGTTAGTCACTTATAGTTTTAGGAGATTGGTTTGAGTCACAATCAGTCCAGGACTCCCTTTATCTTTAATATTTTACATAAATGTTTTCTTTGTTTCATCTCTACATGGTATAATTTGTTGAATCATGCTTCAGATGGCCAGTTTAGAAGAGAGGTTGGACAGACTGGAAGCAGTAATAGGCCATAATCCTGAAAAACTTGTAAGATCAATATTTGTTCAATAAATCAGTTTCTTTTCATGTTTTAGATAAGAAATGCCTCACTGTACTTAATTTTTTTAACAGTTGTACTGTTGTTAGAAAGTCTGATAGAATATAGAAATTTGAAGACATTTGTTAAAGTTAAATTTGTTGACAACTTGACTGCTATAAAAAATAAGAAGATGTGGTATGATTGCCAATAAGACAACTCTCAACCAGAGACCAAATGACATAGAAGTTTACAACTATAGGTCACTGTACGGCCTTCAACAATTAGCAAAATCCATACCACATAGTCAGCTATAAAAGACCCTGAAATGACAAATGTAAAACAATTAAAACGCGAAAAATAACACACTGATTTATGTACAAAACAATGATTGAAAAACAATTATGATATACAGCAACAAACGACAACCACTGAATTTCAGGCTCCGGACTAGGGACAGGCACATAAAGAATGTGGTGAGGTTAAACTAGTTTGTTGGCACTAAACCTACCTAGGACAGTGGTGTAACAATACAACATAAGAACAAACTATAAAAATCCTGGTATTTATACATCCTGACAACAACAAAAAAAACCACTAAATACAGATCTGAGAGTACTCACAGTTACTGACACTAGTTCAAAGCCAATAAAAACTAATAAAAAAATCATGCGTGCTAGTTTATCTGATTGAATCTTGTTAGTCTAGCGATTTGTTGACAACTTGACTGCTAGTATGACTGATGGAAATCTTGTTAGTCTAGCAATTTTTTGACAACTTGACTTCTAGTATGTCTGATTGAAATCTTGTTAGTCTAACGTTAGCAACTTATTTACAGTGGAAATATATGATTTATAGATAAAGTGTCAAAGAGGTTGGAGGTTGTGCATAATTAAAATTAGATTCATTCATTCATAATGTAAATTATTTAGTTGTATTATGTATTTTACAGAGTATATTGACTGCAGATACAGATAGTAAATGTTTACTGGTAAGATTTGAACTTATAGTATAAGGATAACTGAGAAAGAGTTGTGGAACAAGGTGTCATTATGATAATAGGAAATGTTTTTAAGTGATGTCACAATGTAATAAACCATGCAATAAAGCCAGAAGCTTTAAAAGTTATGAAAATGATTCCCTAAAATTATGATTTTGTTTCTGGATATTAAATAATTGGTTGTCCAAATCTTCTGATATTTCAACTCTCGTCATTGATATCAAAATACTGATTGAGTGTATTTTGTTGTGATTTGACATTTGTCATTTAAGAGTATGATTTTAAAGATGCAAAACACATACTTAGATGTAAGAAACAAAAAAGTTTTAAACAGTAGAAAGTACACATTATTTTAGGATCCTTTTGAATGAATTATATATTGTATGCTGCTTTTGATCTTTGATTAACAGACAGTTTAAATCTTGATGAGCAGGTCTGGCTAAAACAGAAGATTGGGGGTAGTGGTCATTTTAAGATCATCAAGACAATTATAGAATGATTCATCACTATGATTCTCTTACATTTAAAAAAGCAAACTTCTGATGTAGGAAGCATTTTGTATTGCATAGAATGTGAAAGATAGTCATTATCTTCTGATTGAATAATTGTCATGCTAAAGCAGATATATATTTACCTTTTAAGGAACATTACATCTCATTTATTGTAGGAAGCTGTATCTGTAGTTAACTCCAAGTTATCTTTACTGGAGCCTACAAGTCTTGAACAAGTTGATGCCAGACTTCATGGTGTAAATCACAAACTTACGCAAATTGCTGAGAAGAAAACAGCTCAAGAAAATAATGAAAAACAAACAAAGGTAATATTAATGAAAAACAAACAAAGGTAATATTAATGAAAAACAAACAAAGGTAATATTAATGAATAACAAGCAAAGATAATATTAATGAATAACAAACAAAGATAATATTAATGAATAACATGTAGGTAAAACAGTATAGTACAGATAAATTAAAAAATTTAAGCATGAAATACAGTGAACCAACTCGCATATAAGTGATACGAAAAATTATGCCCCTAAGAAGGAGTTCAAAAGGCATCAGAATTGATTCACCGGGGGGCGGGGGTCTCAACATACAAATTTGGGTACAGACGTCCGGCTGGGGTTTGAAAAACAACCCTCATTCATATATTGATTTTTAAGATAATCCCTACCCATACATATATTTCATAGGAATATTGTAACCCATTCATATATTTCCTAGCTATCAAACATACAATATCTCATATCTTATTTAGATGCTAACCACATGGGATCATTCATATTATTAGAATAAAAGATCAGTACAGTTTTTACACACATCTTGACAGAAAATGAGCATTTATGACCCATTGCCAAAGAACTACTCATTGACATACTGACTCTGTGAAATTGCACCCCATTGATACATTTGACATTCCAAAAAAAGTGACCCATACGAGCTGCATATCTGTGTATAGCTTTATTTAGGAAGAGACTCCCCCCACCCTTCTGCTTCTTCTGCCAGATAATGGCCACAATCAACAAACTGATTATACTGCCATGGATTTGGTGCTCATACTAGACCACCCCCCTCCTCCCAAAATTTTGAATTTTAGTTCAGCTTTGTGATTGAGGCTTTAAAGGCCTCGACTGACGGTGCTGATACGACCCCAGGAGGGAGAGCGTTCAAATCCCGGATAGTTCTTGGGAAGAATGAGTGTTTACGATAATCACAGGATGCCGATGGTACTTGGAAGCATTTGTCATGCATGATTCGTGTCAGTCTTTTCGGTGGTATAAGACGACCTTCCTTTGACATAGCCACTTTGTTGTTTTCTATTTTGTATAGCATTGTGAGTCTGGCTTCTTTCCTTCTTTGTTCTAAGGATGTCCATTTAAGGTGTTGTAACATCATGCTAACGCTGGAGTGGTTATGATGTTTGTTTGATACATAGCGAGCTCCTCTTCTCTGAACCATCTCAACCCAGGTGTATTGATAGAAAAATTATATTGGAAATACAAATTATCTCTAAGATTGCCTTATAAGTTCTCTCACCCATACAGTTCTTGACAGATTTAGAAGAAATTTATATGAATAAAAGCAAAAACAGTACTAAATGAACATTTTTTTCTAGTTGAGTTATGGCACTTAGAAATATATGTTAATGTTTTGAAAGGCTCTGTAAGTACTTTCACCCTCACATTTATTGCAGATTTTGGTAAAAAGATATTCAAGGTTTAAACATTACAAATGTATAAGCAATATCTCAATGAGTTCTTAAAATGAGTGCTGATTAGAAATTATTGTTATGAATTTCGACCCTTATTATTGGAATTATTTGAAAATTGTCTTGTATAATCTGTCATGCTTACAATATGGAGATATGTGCAATGATCAATCATTTAAGTTAGCTTGATTCACAGAAGATTGATTCCAGAATTATTTCCAAAGAACTGCATTAACAGTGAACGTTGTGTCCATTATGTACACCATTTGGCTGTTTTATGGAAAATTGTTTCTTATTTTCAAGTATACTGATTTATAACTTTTACAAACAAACTCAAATTGATTCCTGTTATAAAAACTTTTCAGTTGATGGAGTTGTATGAATTAGTGAAGAAGTGGAATTCAGTGTCTGATACATTACCCCAGGTTGTAGATAGACTTGTTTCTTTAAAGGATTTACATGAACAAGGTTTGTAGGAAATCATCTTGTATAATGTAAAAAAAAAGACATCCTCTCTCATATGAAAAGTTATATCACATTAGTTTTAGTCATGTTTCCCACAGAGTTTATCTGGAAGTAGCTGATGATGTAATTTGGTTAGCCAGTCATTGTCTTTACATGTCTTTGACTAACTCTAAATTGTGTCATCAGTAATAAAACATGCAAACATCTTTACAACATTGTTTTGAGTATTATAATTTTTTATTATTATATCCAGGAAACCTCCTTAATTTTTTGTCAGATCCTCTTTAGATTTATATGAAGGTTTTTAATTATCAAAACCCCTGATAAGCTTGATAATCAGAAAAATCTAATATGGGAAGCCTTTCTATGTAGATATTAGTTATTGTTGCCATGATAAAATTTTTGTTTATTTTTGGATCCTCTTTAAAGTTGGATGAAAGTTTCACACATAAAAACATCAGATGAGTTCCATTACTGTGGATTCATTTATTTTCGTGGGTACCAATTTTCGTGGATTGAGGAAAACTTGCATATTTGTGGATATTTGAATTCGTGGTTTTGGCGAAGTCTGCATACATTCCTTTAGAAATCTTGTATTTCGTTGAACATTTAAATTCGTGGTTCCACTGTTCCTACAAAATACACGAAAATTAGTATCAAACGAATATTAATGAATCCACAGTATAATAAAAATAAGAAATGAGGTTCCAATTTTTGGAAGGGGAACTCTTTAAAATATTTATCAATTATTGTAGCCAGGATAGAATTATACCTTAATGTAAACAGAAACTATGCCAGTAAACCATAAGCTCTTCACCTTTATATGGGGGCTTGGGGTATATGAGCTTGCTCACTAAAGGCTCTTTCGTTTTATTTGTTATTTTAAAAATATTAAACATAGTATTGTGTGTGAAATGCCTAATTTGTTAAATACACTGTTGAAGAGCTTGGAATATTCTGCCTATTGTTGAAGGGCTTGGAATATTCTGCCTATTGTTGCAGTCATATATTGACCTCTAAATATCTTCTGCAAGTTTTCAGTTTGAATTCTTGGCTCTTTCCAAAAGAAAAAGAAATAATTAAATGATAATGATTAATAATTTGAAAGAATTAAAGTGGATTTATTTGAGATATGTTTGATTTTACAGCACTACAGATGACCCAAACACTGGGATATTTAGATACAGCACAACAAGAAATTAATTCTAGTCTACATTCACATGGAGATTTATTGAAACAGGTAAATTCAGTTATTTTTAATTTGAAAATTTCTGATATTGAATGTATAATTACACCTTATATAAGAATGCCGGATTTTGATTGGTTGTTAGCCAGTGTATTTTTCGCATATTCTAATATTTTTTCCTCATTTCAAACGAATTTGCCTGTTTTTCACCACTGCCGGTGAATTGCCTCAAATTCCCCTCTCTGCCGTGGTATTTGTCATTTTGGATATTCCTTTTTTACCCTCGCGAGCCAGTTCCTGCCAAAATTATTCAGAACCTTTCTCACTTTATCCCGACAACATGGTTAAGCACTATTGATTGAGTTAAACCGAAAACTGTCAGAAATATATACATATAAAGAGGGGAAAAAATGTCTATACAAATGAACGATTTAATGATGGTATAACAATGATGTTTACACATATAGATACCATGACGTTACAAAAAGACAGCACTAACGCGTATACGTACATGTATAATTCCCGCGGTACTACGATTTCCCTTCACATGTACAGACAGTTTCAATCAAAATCTATTCGGTGTAATTAAACAGATATATCATGTTGTGGAGGGGTATTTGCGAAAAATACCAGTCTTGGGACCAAATTCCCCTCGCCTAGTGGCTTGGGAAATTTCACCGTCCCTTGACTGGTATTTTTTGCAAATACCCCTCCATAACATGATATATCTGTTCAGAATTCATTCCCATTTTTCTTGGGTAACAAGAACAGAACTAAAGAACATCTTCTCAACAGTTGTGTCAACTTGAACACAGTTTAATTTTCAAATTTAAATATAGCCGGTAAGCCTTGCATTTAAAAGTTTAGCTATCTTGGGTTGGTAAATATTGTCATGAACAGAGTGATGGGTAGAATCGTTAACAAATGCAAAGTTGGCACCAGTCTGTTGTGGAAAAGGTTTCCTAATAATTAGAAATAGGATGTTTATTCATCTTTTTCTGGTAACAAGCTGACTGATGGGTATAATACATGAAATCAGCCGTGTAAGTCAGAAGAAATCTCTGTGGAAAATGTATATTGAAGAACCGCTACTTTTTATTTTGCCTATAAATTTATTACAATAATATGGGAATGTGTTATGTTTTTGGAAATGTAAATGCTTATTTGAACTATATGCTAAACGTTTGCACAATTCAAATTAGTAAAATATCCAGTGTGAGTTTACTTGTGAGGATAAATATGGTTATTGTTGCATTAATCAAAGTACATTCAGTCCTGGTGGAGGGTTACTACATCATGTACATGTATCAAACATTATCAAAGAATGATTGTCAGTAGCACCACTGTATGCCTTCTTTTCTTTAAATTAAACATATATTCTTATTTTGAACAGCAGTATTAAAGGGATTTTATGGACTTGCGTCCAACATTTTCTACAAGGTAACAATATAGTCTTTGCCCAAAGTAATTCTTCCTCAGTAACAAATTTTGTTTCTGTGTGTTTATAAAGGATATACAGTTGTGGGGTAGATTTTAGGGACAATAGTTATTATAAACAGTTCTAGAGCAGAATATGTAATTGACTTTGTTTATACTTTTTATTCTTTTGTGTTAATATAAGTAAATGCATTATTTTGAGAATTGTGTATCAATTTTCTGTTTTAATTGTAGATTCAAGAAACTTTTAAACAGAATACAGATGCCATTAAGACAAATACAGAGAAGTTAGAACAAAGAATGAAGACAGTACAGAAATAGTGCAATAAATAAATACTTATACATTGGATAAAACTCCTTATTAGTTTATTATACATTTTATTTGCTAATAGAAGATGATGTAATTATTTGCCTAACTTATGATTTATTTCAGTGGTATTTATCTGGTAATAGACATTTATCTCATTTTTATGATGCTATTTATGGTTAAATGGAGCAAATATGAAATAAAATTATCAATGAAAATTGAATTCCTTATCATTGAGCTGTTATGAATCACCATCACAATGTTACAAAACTGATATCATTAACCCTTTAAGGTGGCAGTTTTTAACTACCTTGACTGGTTATAAAGCCCTTGCATGGTTGGAAGTGTTGCTGGGGTATCTTCCTTCATCTTGGATTTTGAAGTACTGTGAATTCATTTATTTTCGTGGGTACCAATTTTCGTGGATTAAGGAAAACTTGCATGTTCTTGGATATCTAATTTCGTGGTTTTGGCGAAGTCGGCATACACGCTTATAGGAAATTTGTCATTCGTTGAACATTTAATTTTTTTGGTTCACCTATACACACGAAATCCACGAAAATTGGTATCCAACGAATAATAATGAATCCACAGTAGCAAATAACAATTGGTCTAGATCTTTAATGGAATGTGCAAATTTTGAGAGTAGTATGTAATTCATGTGTAAGACTTTTCATGTTAATATAGAAAATTATCCTATTTACGGCTGTATTTTCTGAAAAAACACCATATCTTTGTTTGATTCATTTTTTTTCAACTTTGCCACATAAGGGGAGATAACTCAGATAAAGAATTTTTTATAATAGAAAGTGTTGATAATTTACCTATTTTAATATGTAGCAAGAAAACAAGTCCGGTGACCCCATTTTTTCTTTTTCTTATCTGAAAGCATGTTATAAGAGCTATCTTCTCACATTTTATCTAATGACCCATACTTTTTATTATATTTTGGAAAAAAGCATGATAAAAACTACATTTTGACAAATTATCAAAAAATTCTATGGATTTTAATTAAGACCCCCCCCCCCCCACCGCATCCACCTTAAGGATGTTTGCTGCTCCGTTTCAAAATAACAAGCTTTTCAAAAAAAGTTAAATCACAAAAATACTGAACTTCGAGGAAAATTCAAAACGGAAAGTCCCTAATCAAAATGGCAAAATCAAAAGCACAAACACATCAAACGAATGGACAACAACTGTCATATTCCTGACTTGGTACAGGCATTTTTTTATGTAGAAAATGGTGGATTGAACCTGGTTTTATAGCGCTAAACCTCTCACTTGTATGACAGTCACATCAAATTCCATTATATTGACAACGATGCGTGAATAAAACAAATAGGTAAAAATGTCAAAATAGGTGTACAGCAGTCAACACCATGTCACAATTCTTTTTTTTTTTTTTTTTTTTTTTTTTATTTTTATTATTTTCAAGAATTACAACAAATACAACACATCAAACATACATACAATAATATTAGCAATACATTTGAATATCTATTTATTTATGACAATAAACATTGTTGAAAATACAGTTTTATATTTATACGAAAAGAGAACATAAACACAGAAGAAAAGATAATTTGAGTTAAATGTTTATGTATCACAGTGTGGCACATGAGAAGGCTAAATTATTTTATGAAAAAGGAAGAGGTTAAAATATCCTGTAAGATTTTCAGTACATAATAAGTTGTGCTATTAGATACAATAATATATTATGTTAGTTTTGACAATAATTATCTGTAAATAATAAATGACAAATTGAATTATAAAAATAATTCTTTAAGTGCATTCCACATGGTATCAAAGTGCTCTTATCTCTTATTTTTGACTGCCATTATTTTTTCTAAATTGTCCATATATTTTAGCTTTTCTTTAATGGCACTGAGTGAAAGATCTTTTGAAAAACATCTACTGTTGTATATATATATTGTTTCATGTATAGAAAAATCAAATTATATGGGTTACCTTTTCGAACTTTTGATATATCTCCAAAAATGAAATTTAACTTATTCAATGGCAGGCTTACCCCACCAGATAAAAACCAATAATCAATATCTTGTAAAAGATTTTAGATAATCTCACAATTCAACAGAATGTGTTCAACAGTTTCATCTTCTAATTTACAAAAAGTACATAGAGGGTTATCAATAAGTTTGATTTTACATAAAGATTTATTTGTGGCAAGAATTCTGTGGTTGATTCTGTACTAAAGCCACTGTAGTTTAGTATTGACAGTGACTGTAAAAGGTAGTTTGAATATATGTTCCAAATGAGATCTTCGCCTAATATTTCGCCCCATTTCAGTTGTCCTGTTGGAGTCACATTGTTACTAATGATTATTTTGTACATATCTTTAGAACCTTTTCTACTTTTAAAAAAGACTTGTAAGCAAGCTGGAATAAATGGACAACATAACTTATATGAATCTTTTTTGTAATTATTTGCTGCTTTTTATACGACCGCAAAAAAATTTTGTGGTCGTATATTGGTATGACGTTGGCGTCATTGTCGTCGTAGTCCGAAGATTTTTCGCACTCTAACTTTAGTTTAAGTGAATGGATCTCTATGAAATTTTACCATAAGGTTCAATACCACAAAAGGAAGGTTGGGATTGATTTTGGGGGTTATGGTACCAACAGTTAAGGAATTAGGGGCCAGAAAGGGGCCAAAAAAAAAGCATTTTTGTAACTTCCAGACATAACTTGTGTGTTAGTATATGGATCTCTCTGACATTGTACCACAAGGTTCCATATCACAAAGGGAATGCTGGGATTGATTTTGGGAGTAATTGCCTCAAAATTTTAGGAATTAGGGGCAAAAAACAAGCATTTTTCTACTTTCATGATAATAGCTTGTGTGTAAGTGTATGGATCTTTCTGAAATTGTACTACAAGGTTCCATATTACAAAGGGAATGCTGGGATTGAGTTTGGGGGTATTTGCTCAAAACGTTTAGGAATAAGGGGCCAAAAATAAGCATTTTTCTAGTTTCCAGACAATAACTTGTGTTCAAGTGTATGGATCTTTCTGAAATTGTACTGCAGGGTACCATACTACAAAGGGAAGGCTGGGATTGATTTTGGGGGTAATTGCCTCAAAATTTTAGGAATTAGGGGTCAAAAAGGCGAAAAAAACAAGCATTTTTCTAGTTTCATGATAATCACTTGTGTGTAAGTGTATGGATCTTTATGAAATTGTACTACAAGGTTCCATATCACAAAGGGAAAGCTGGGTTTGAGTTTGGAGGTAATTGCCCTAAACGTTTAGGAATTTGGGGCCAAAAAGGGGCCTAAAAACAAGCATTTTTCTAGTTTCCAGACAATAACTTGTGTTCAAGTGTATGGATCTCTCTGAAATTGTACTGCAAGGTACCATACCACAAAGGGAAGGCTGGGATTGAGTTTGGGGGTGATGAATCATAAGGGGGTTCAAAAAAATTTGGGGGGAGGGATTTTTTTTACCCTTTTTTTCCTTTTTTTTTCTTTTAAATTTTCCGTTTTAAATTGGTTATTTCGGATTTATATATAAAAGCAAATAATAATGATAGGGTTTGAATAGGTAAATTAAAAAAATTTAAGTTCTTAGACCACATTCATTCTGTGTCAGAAACCTATGCTGTGTCAAATATTTAATCACAATCCAAATTCAGTGCTGTATCAAGCTTGAGTGTTGTGTCCATACTTGCCCCAAATGTTCAGGGTTTGACCTCTGCGGTCGTATCAAGCTGCGCCCAGCGGAGCATTTTATTTAATAGCAGAAATAACACTCATGTAATTCAAAAAATTTACATTGATATGGTAACATTGCTGTAACAATTCTAATGAAATAAAAAATCCATTTTCATCTAATACATCATTTGTAAATATTGTAAACCATGCTTAAACCAATGTTGGTAAAAAACAGGTTTATTACAAATTCTAATCATATTGTTAAACCAAATAGGACTTGATAAAAAATATTCATAGTCCATATTTCTTTCTTTATCAATTATCATTTCCCATGCTCTGAATACATCTTTCCAAAAACTGTTTTTGATATATAAACTAACTTGTTTGATCTACTGAACACCACAGTTAAAAAGTTTATTTTTATCAATATCAGACATCAGAATACTTTGCCACTTATTATCTCTCTGAAAAATCCTTCTTATCCATGATGATTTTAGTGCTATGGTAAAACTATAGAGATCTATCATTTTTAATCCTCCCTCCAAATATTCTTTAATCAATACGTCCTTCTTCACTCTTATGTATAGGAGAGTTCCATACAAATGTATAAAAAATGTTATTATTTTTTTGGAATACACTGTCAGAAGGATTAGGCAAAGAAATAATAAGGTGGTTTAAAATAGGTAAAACAAGACCGTTATTCTACCTATTACTGTAAGGTTTCTTTTTAGCCACTGTTTTATTATGTTCTTAATCTGTATAATTTTATCATTATAGTTGATATTGACAATATTTTCTAAGTCCACATCAAAATTTATACCAAGTAGTTTAAAAGTTGTCTCACCCCATGAAAGGTTAACATCAGGACATAAAATTTCCTTGCTATACTTTTTACTTCCAAACCAAATTACTTGTGTTTTTGCCAAATTTATATTTAAACCAGATATTTTTGCAAACCAGTCCAATTCAGATAAAGATTCATATAAAGATTTTTCACTACCATCTAAAATCAATGAAGTGTCATCAGCAAACTGTGACAACTTATGCTCAACTTGAGTAACTTCAATACCACAAATTTCCTTATTTCCTCTTATCTTGAGTGCAAGAATCTCAGCACATAGGATGAAAAGATAAGGTGAAAGCGGATCGACTTCGGCAGCCCCGACCTATGTTAAATAATTCAGAAAGGTCACCCCCTTGTATAACTGCAGACTTTATATTATTATAAAACGCTTTTATCCAGTTGATAATAGATTCCCCAAAGTTAAAGAACTTTAAAACATTTTGCAAGAAATCCCAAGAAATAGAATCAAAAGCCTTTTCCAAATCAATTAACAACAAGAGCCCAGGTACTTCATGATCTTCTGTGTATTGCATGATATCATATTAAAGCCTTATATTTTCTCCTATGTACCTCCAACTAATAAAACCATGTCACAATCTTACTCACAACAAAAACAAACAAATATTTAACAAAGAAGCACAAAAAAGCATATATCGCATTTAACAACCTCGTTCATTGCTTACTTATTTTTGTATTTTATTTAT